TAAATCTATTTGTCTACAAAATTAATTAATTATATTCAAATACACATTATTTAATTACCGGCTAACACTTATTCTAACAGTTAAAGTCTCTTCTAATCCCAAAAGGTCTCGAGGAAATTGAGGACAAATATTTAAAGCAAATTGTATTAAATTAATTCTTTCAATCCAAGCACAATTCCAAATAAATTGTGTATTTAATCGAGATAATTGAATATTTAGATTTTCTTTGTTTTGCAAGTCTTTATCAAATAATTCAATTAAAGCAACAGGAATTGGATGCTCCAAAATTGGTTGGAAGTGAATTTGTCGAAAAATTATCTAAAAAGGAATTTAAAAAAATATATTTATTTATAAAAATCTTTTTAAAATTTCCAATCCAAATATTTCAAACAAAAATAGGAAAAGGGGGAAAAGCCAGATGCTGGTAAAAACAATGCTAAGGATTTTATCTGCAGATAGTTAGCATTGTTTCTACCAACAAGAAAATCGACAAATGAAAGAATCGAGAATTTAAACAAAAAATCTTTCCAATTTCACCTTTGGTTGTTTTAACATTTCATTTCCATCCAAAATTTGTATTTCAACAAAAGCTTTATTTCTAATATTAAATAAATTTGGAGAGGAAAAAGAATTTAATTCTTTATTTGAATTTTGTAATCTAGATGCTCTATCTTCTATTTTAACTTCCAAAGTTATATTTGTTGGTAATTTAAGAGAATCTAGAGAGGCAAATGTACGTAACCAACCAGTTGTTTGTTCTAAAAAAATATTTAATTTTTAATTAAAAAAATAATGACCCGAAGAATGACCCCCCAATAAATGCCTACAAATTAATTTAAAAAAATAAATTAGTACCAATATAAAAATATTTGGAAGGTTTAATTAAAGAATATAAAAGTTCTCCATTTAATCCCTCATCAGCATCAAATGCTTCCAATTTAATTATTTTAGAATTTAAAGGTAAAGGTAAAATATTTAAATTCAAAAAATAATTTAATTCTTTAAACATTGGAGGATTATCATTTTCATCCAAAACACGAATATTTATCTAAAAATATTTAAATTTAAATTTATTTAAAATTTAAATATATACTTTAGCTATAGATTCTAATGCTAATCCCCTTCTCCTTTTTGTTGTAGCTAATATAATTAAATTAAATTCTGGTTGTAATTCTCTATTTAAAACGTCCATTTGATCTTTATATTCTAACAACAAAAATGCAAAATTACCCAATCTTTGACTTTTAACACCAAAACGATTGTTTTCATCTCCCTTTTTATTAAAAATATTTATTTTAAAAGACAACAATAATTACTTGAATTATTCTAAATTGTATTTGGTTATAACCTTTGGGTAACCAACACCCAACCATTTGGACATTTGATGGATTTAAAGCTATATTCGCCCTTTGACCGACAGAATTTTCAAAAATACTTAAATTATAAAATGGAGCTGTAAATTGAAAATCTGTTGGTGTAGATGATGAAAGTAAATGAGAAAAGAAGGGGGAAGGACTTCTACTATGGCGAACTAAAAATTAAATATTTTTTAAATAAAAATATATTTAAATTATAAATACTTTTATGATGTCTGTGTTTATTTGCATTTACTCCAAAAATTAAATAATTAATAAATAATTCCAAAATTAAAATTAAAAATAAAAAATTAAATAAAATTTTAATCATTTTTTAGAAAATAATTAATTTTAATTTTTGTTGTTGCATTATTTGAAAAATAAAAGTAGTTGTTGTTTGGATTTTTAAATACCCGTTGAGATGAAGTGAAGGTAGGAGAAGGGGGAGAGAGATCAAATAAATATATAAGAGAAAAATGTTTTTTGGAATGAAAGTTTTTTTAAATAAATTTCTGAAAAAATAATTATTTAAATAAAAATAATTATAAAATTAAATTAATATGTATTTTAAATTAAAATGGCATTGACTAAACAAAAATATAACAAAATTATTTTTAAAAGTATTCTCGAGAGTAATGCCACAAACAAACACATGTCCTTTCTCTCTCCCCCCCCCCCCCTTTAAAAGGACCGTTGACCATGCAAAAGCAAATACATACATAGAAGGGCGGAAGGACAATACAATTAGCTGTCCAATATATTTTATAAAAGTAAAAATGAGGGATTGAGGAGAAAATAGACAAAAGTAAAGTGCGCAAGTAAGGAAACAAAATTGATGGAAGGAAGGAAATTTAAAGAAAAATGGAAAATTTAAAAAGCGGTGGTGACAATGAAAAATGAATAAATGATAGCTAAAATATTGTTTGGGAGAGGGAAGAGGAGGGGGAAGAGGTGGTCAATAATTGGAAAGGCGAGAAGAAAATAATAATTATATTTTGAAAATAAAAAAGGGGAAGTGGGAAATTTAGGCTCGGAAATTTTTATTAAATATAGTTTAATATGTTAAAAATAATTATAATTTCGTGTGACAAAAAAAAACAAAATAAAAATAATTAATAAATTAAATTAAAAAAAGTTCAAATAAAAAATTAAAAAAAAAACAATGTAAATATAAATGTTATTTTTAAGGTCATCATCATCAATTCAAGTGTGGCATTTTGCGAGTCGTGCCGGTCTCCACCATTCTTAGAAAATAAAAGGAAATAGTTTTTTAAAAAGAAGATGTTGTTGATGTAGTTATTTATATATATAAATTTAAAATAAAGATAAGCCAATCAAAAAATTTCAATAAAAATCTTTTCAAAAATTAAAAAAAAAAGACAAGCAAAGAAACAAATAAAAAATAATAAAAATTGTTGTCCTTGAAAGTAACAAAAAGGATATATTTAGTTGAATGTAAAAAAGTATGTATTTTAGAATGAATTGAAATAGTAAATGAGAATGAATATATTTAGAGAGTGTGAAGCTTGTAATGAATGAGTGTGATTGGAAAACTTAAATTAAATAAAATTCTTTAAAAATATTCTAAAAAATGTGTTTGTAATACTTTAAGTAAAAGAAAAATACTTAAAAGTTAATAATCTTTTTATTTTTTTTTAAACTGTCAAAAATATTTTTTAAATTATTTAAGATAAAAATAAGTAAATAAACAATAAATTAGGAAGATTATAAATTATTAGCTTTTTTTATTCCGTCAAGTGGAATAACAATTACTTTGTTTAAATAATCAACAATAAAGAAAAAAACAAGTATTTTAAATCTTAAATTTTATTATTTAAGCTAACAAAATAAATAAAAAAATTTTTAAATAAATATTTTGATTTTCAAATTATTTAGAAAAATTAAACAAAAATATTTTTTCAGAAAAATATTTAATTCCCCTAATGGTCATTTATTTTTGAATAGAAAATTTTAAAGAAATTCTTTCACAAACTAAAGCCAATTACTACTACAATTAAATTAATTTAAAATGTAACAAAAAATGTATAAAAACTTCAAAAAAAGATTGAAGAATTTAAAATTTAAAAATAAAAAAATAAAAAAAGAAGCCGGCTGAGGGAATAACTTTACTTGAAGGATAACTGCAAGTATATACATCAGAAATACATCCTTCCAGCCGGTCATTACTCATATAGACAAACATTTTGTGTATATATATAGCGAATTATCGACATTGGAATTTACTAGTAAGGGTGAAAAAAATATATGTAGACAGACCCTAAGGGGTGAAAGAGGAAAATGTTTTTAGTGGACAATGCATGCAAACAGTGAAAATTAGAAAATTGGGGGGAGAAAAATAAATTTAAAAAGTAAATTTTTGTTTAGACAGAAATTATTTTTAAATTAATTTAAAGAAATATTCCTCAATGTTTTTAAATAAAATTATTTTTCAAAATCATTTTCTTTTGTTTGTCTGTTTCTAAATATATGGAAAATAAAGGGAGAAATTTGTTAGGAATTAAAAAAATTAATTGAAATAAAAACATTCGGAAAATGTTTTTAAGAAAAAAAAGTATTAGCAACGTTTGAGAAAAGGTTAAATTTATATGTTAATGACAGATGGAGAAATATAGGAAAAAGAAAATCAGACGATTTTTGGTGTAAAAGGGAGGGAGGGAGGGGGGAAAAAATTCTTCTTTTTTTGAATAAAAATTGTTTTGAGAAAATAGAGAAAATATTTACATATAAATTAATTTTTAATTAATTAATTAAAAATATTTTTATTTATTCCAAATTTAAAGAAAATTCCAACGGATCAAAATCAATAAATTGAATCATAAAACACCTCTAGCTCCAAAACTTTAATGAAAATAATCTTTTAAAAGAATTAATTTTTTAGAAAAAGCAATTAACAATTTTGAAAGAAAAAATTATTTACAAAAATAAATACAAATAATGATGAAGAGCAACGATCAATAGAAATAAATATAGAAAATGTGGGGAGGTAAAACGATTGATCTATCCGGCTGACAATCTTTCCCGCAAATTTAAAGACATTTTATATTAATTTACATAAAATATTTTTTGTTGTAAATGTAAATTATAAATAGTAAATATTTATTTTTTAATAAGAAAATTATTTTTTATTTCATTATTACTTAAAAAATCAAGCCGGAATCGAAAAAATTAAAATGAGTCGGACTCTGCTTTGAAATAAAAAGTAAAATTAAAATGTTAATCTAACATAACAAAAAATTTTTATTTTAAAAGTAACAATAATTTAGATTTATTAAAAATTCCAAATACTTTTAAATATGTAAATTGTTAAAATATTTTAAATGTTTGTATGTATTTACGTGTATATTCATTTTATTAAAGCTGTAAACTATCCTAGCAATAACAACTTTTATTGACCATTTTCAATGAGAATTTTAAATAGGACAAAAATAAAAGTAATAAACAGACGAAAATGGAGAAAAATAAAAAGACTTTTTAACTATTCTTCCTCTTCACCCGAATGCTTATACTCTTAATTCTCTGTAGAAAAAATGTGAATGAAAAAGGAGGGGACAATAACAACCCTACACATATACAAGCATCTTATATTTAGCCCTGAATCGGATGGACAGTCTCCCCGAACCTTCTTTATTTTATTATTTTTCCCCCAAGCTCACTCACATTTTGTACGGTTGGAGAGGCAGAAAGGCCAGTAGTTGGTGGGGTTTGAAGGAATATTTTAGAAGAAGAAATAGGGGGTTCGTTGATTCGATGAGTGAACGAGAAAAAAAAAAGAAGAAGATTGTTTTGAGGAGGGAAGAGAGGGAATAAATATATATAATCTAGAAAATGGATGGATGCGCGCATTGGTGAATATGAGGGGATAAAACAGGCGGCAATGAGGAAGAAGAAGAATAAGATGAGGGAAGGGTGTAAAAATGGGAAGGATAACGCCGTTATATCGGATTCTTAATGGAAGAATTGTTAATGTTTCATTCAAATGTGCATGGAAAACAAAATTTGTCTGGAAAACAAATTTTGTAAATGTTTTCTTAAAGTAATCCTTGGCTTTGAAATCTCCATTACTTCAAATTTTCAATAAACTATAAGTAAAATTATATTACAGTTTTAGTAACACTCAATAAGGTACAAGGTATTAAGCTTTTAAGGTAGAAAAACAAATTCCTGATTTTCAGGAATCGAAAATTTGGACGGCATGATATACATACTACTATACTACCTCAAACAAAAAACCGAAAAAGCAAACATTAAAAAATTGTGGGGAACATATGGAGGGTAAGTATGGGGATTGATTTACTGCTGTGATGTGCTTTTTTCCAATGACCGGAAGAAAATCGTTCGTCTACGCTTTTTTCTTCTTCTTCTTCAAAACCACTGCCACAAAACTAAGCACATTGTATATATTGACTTAACCTATACAATTTAACAAAAAATACTACTATAACCTTTTGAATGGCAAATGAATTAAGAAAATTAAAGTGATTTTAAACTAAATTTAAAAATTCCAAAATAAATATTTATGTTAAGTTAGTAATGCGTTTGTTGGAGAAAACTGAACGTATATTTTAGATTGATCCATTAGATAATAATGCATAAAGTTTATTTATTAAACTTTTAAATTTAAAAATTATTTTTGACCGTCGCCAAAAAAACATTTAAAATTTTGGTCACGCGTTGAGTATTGTTAATTTTGGTTGTTTGTTTGGTGTAATACATAAATGTTTGTGCATATTATTTAATTATATTATGTCCAATAAATGGGAGATGAAATGAGCTGACCGGCTACTCATTGTTAAAAGCAAAAAAACTTTTTAGTGGTAACAGTATTTTCATGGAGGAATGAATATTTAATAAGTAAATATTTTAGTACTAAATAATAATAAAGTGGTTTTTTGTAAAAATGACGGGAATAAAAAATGGAAGTTATAAAAAATAAATAGGTAATACATAATGTAGTTTTATAATTCGAGTAATACATATGTACATTTCTAAAATAATTTAGTATAGTACTATGTAGAGATCGAGCTGGATTTGGATCCAGAATCAAGATCAAGTCGTTTTTCAGAGTTACTTGATTCTCGATCTCTAATACTAATTATTATTAGTCAAAAATATACCTAATTAAGAAAAGGTGTTAAACCAAATTTTAAATTTTCGGGAATTGCAGAAATTAACTGTGAAAAACAGGTACGGAACCAAAAATCGAAAATTCCCGCTTTCAATTTTCTCTGTCCAAAAATGTCCGGGACTAAAACACAAAAAATAATAAAATTATTAGAACAATTAGTTTTGGCAAACTGTACAGATTCATATTCTTTCTCTTTGAGGTACGTTTATTTGTTAGAGTTCCCATTTAAACGCCGTTAACATTTTACACAAATCTTTTCTTTTTGTCAAGGATTTTTAATTTTAACTTTAACTCACAATTTTTTCTAAATTTTATTTTTTATATGAGTACAAACAACAATAAAAATAAAAATCAAGAATTTAATACTCAAGGAAACTTTAGTCGGAATATTCCAGAAATTCATTCCCCCCAACCAACTTCTCCATTAATTACATTACCTGGGGCAGCAAAAAGAAAATCTTCGGGAGGAATTTCGAATAAAATGGAAAATTTTTGTTTTGTTGATTATGAAGAGGAGGAGGGGGAGGGTGATGGACCTAAACCAAAACAAAAACGTTATGAAGATAAAATGAGTGCAAAATTAGATAATATACATTTAATTGAAGATTTTGGACAACAAAAACAAAATAATAAAGGGAAAAGTAAATCAACATTTTCTGCTTCTTTGGAACAAATTAGTCAACCAAAAATTGTGGAAATTGTTGAATGGTTTGGGGTTTTAATTAAATATTTTATTTAAATATTTAAAAGGGATTCTGAATTACTTGATGAAGAAGCTTCTTTGCCTATTATTGAAGAACCTAACGAAGAAAAAAATTTGGAATTGAAGAAAGAAACAGAAGAAAAAGGTTTTTTGAGTTTTTTAGACTAGGATCATAAGACTAGGTCGGGTTTTAAATCTAATATATCAAAATAATTGGTAGTAGAAAATCTGGCACGCCGCCGTTCTCTGACCATTATGAGACTTTTGGCACCTAATTCTGAACCTTCTTTACTACATGTAAAAAATCAATGTTAGTAGGGAGAAAAGAAGGATTGATAGAAAAGAGAGAATCAAATACCTATATTGGTTTTATAGAACAGCGGCCCCCTTAAACGGCAGGAGTGCCGAAAAAATTTATAATTTAATTAGTTAATTAACAGATTTTGGGAGTTTATTTTTTGTTAAAATAATTTTTAAAATTTTTCTAATTTCCATATATATAAATTCTGAAGAAGACAATTACAATTCTGAAGAGGATGACGATGATTTAGAAAATGAAGATGAAGATCAGAAAATTATTCTTAGCGAAAAACTTCGTCAATTTATTTATGAGGGAAATGAAAAGGATTTTGCTCTTTTACCAAAGTTTTTTTTGTTCGAAATATATTTTTAACAAAAATTTTCAGGCCAAAATCTAAAATTATTGGAAATGAATTAATTTTATTTGTCCAACCTTCTATTTTTTCTCTTTTATTCAAAAATTCATCAAAACCACAAATTGAAGAAATTAATATTGGACAAAATAATAATATTGTTGAAATGGGAGAAGAAGTAGAAGAGAATTTTTTGGTAAAATTTAATTTTTTTGGTTGGGTCCTTTCCAGGAAAATTATTTGAGAAAAGTTTTTTTTCGTAAAAATTTTTTTAATTTCCTTAATATTTTATAATGTTTTTGGTTATGTTTGGGTAAATAACATACAAGCCTTCTTCATTAAAATAAACGGTCATAACTTTGTTCACTAAAGTTAATTTTTGTTATTTTAATGTCATTCGACTCATTGTCAGATCGAAGGGCTCTTTCGAATGATAATTCGAATAATTTGCCATAAAACGAGAAAAAAGGGGGCAGCTTCCATAAAGTATTGCCTCCTAATTTTACTTAAGAATATTTTTGGCCTTTCATATTTGAAATTTTTAAAAGAATTTTAAAACATTTTTAATTAATTTAAAATTTATTTTAGGATTTAAAATCATCAATCCAAAGCAAAGAAAATTGTTTAAAGGAAGGAAGAGATGATAATTTTGAAGAAATGGATATTGGTTGATTTTACTTATTTAAAAAGGCAAAATTAAAGACATTTAAAAATTATTTTTCTTTGCTCATTTTCTAATTTTATTCTCTCAATTAATTTATTTAGAAATAAATTATAAAATTAATTATTTTTTATTATTATTTTTAACAAAAATATATCCCTCCCTTCCCTCCCTTTCTAGTTTATATAAAGGTCAAATTTCTTCGGCCAAAAAATATTCATTGTTCCAGAAACAAAAAAGAGCAACTTTATTTAAAATAACTTGTTTTTTAAAGACAGCGAAAATTAAAAAAAAGAAAAAGTTCTTTTTAATAGATTTTCTTATTGAACTTTTAAGCAATATACTAAATACTTAATTTAAAAATTATATTTTTAAGTAATGATTAATTATTATTTATTTATTTTTATTATTTTAATTCCAACAATATTTTCATTTAAAAATAATTATTGGAGAATTAAAAGAGAATGGGAAGAGGAGAAAAATAAAAATATTAAAAGTTTTTTAAGTCATCAAGAAATTTTTAGAGAAGAAAGATGGCAATTACCTCTAGAAAATAATCAAAATAATTTTGATACAAAGAGGTAATTTTGAAAAATATATTTGGGATTTGTTTGGATTTTGATAAAATTGTGGCTTATGTTGAAAAGAAATGTAAATATTTTTAAAAATTCCTAGATATCTTCTAAACGGAATTCCAGTCCATCAATATAAACAAAAATCAAAAAGGCACAATAACCCTCATAACAAAATGAATGCTGCTGGATTTTTCTATATTTCTGCTGATTTTCCAACATTTTCATTAAATGGGGAAGAAAATAACGAAAAACAAAAATTTAATGATTTAACAAATGAGGATTGTTCAATGTATCCAAATGGGACATTTAATGCCCCTTACGCCTTTACTTGTTCTGATCCAGAAAATGGGCCTCCAATTTTTGTTGTGCACGATACAGCTTTAGCTAATCGAAGTGGGCATTATGAATATCCATTAGAATTAAGTGATATAACTCCAATGTTGCGGATTTTTATGGATTTAACTAGTTATGCTACACAAAGGTTTTGAAACAGAAAAATTTTGTTTAAAATATTTCTTAAAAAGCTTTGAAAGTATGAGAGCTGAAGTAGCTTTATTAAGAAGAAAAGTTGGTTGGTTAGGTTGTGGATGGATAAATATTCCAACATTTGGAGCATTGTAAAATATAATTTTTGTACTAAATTAAAATTTTGTAGGGATTTAATTGATATTTGTGAAGATAATGATGGTTGTCCAATTTTCCCAGGCCGCCAAGTCCTCGAATTACAATTGGAGCCAGCACATGTTTTTCTAGCAATGTTGAGATTAATGCTTCGTGATCATAAAGTTTTTAGATTATTTTTTAAATTTTATTTCAATATTCATATCTTTTTTAGCCACCTTACGAGCTTCGTTTACGATTGGTCAATAATCGTAATAATAATGAAGAATTACTTTGTGTTGCTTTCCAGACTAGAATAATATTTTGAATGGAAAACTTTTATAAAAATGAGAAATTGAAATAAGAAATGTCAAAATAAAAAAAAACTTCATGAAATTTTCAATTAAAAAAATTGTAGTCACAAATTGATATTACAGACTAAAACTTTTTAGGATTTACTTTTAAATATTTCTGCAAAATATTTCTAGTTGCTTTTAAAATTAAAAATTTTTTAAAATTTAAGGGGGAAGCGCGGACGCCATCCCCCACACTCAAAAATTTAGCTGTGGGCCCGCCCCAATTCGGAGCCGCCCTGCAGGTCAACCTCGCCCTTAAGTGCAATGGGGAAGTCTCTCCACAAACGCCCTGTCTTCTTGATCACAGGGGCGCTCCAGCCAAGTAAGTTTGCGAAAGAACAAAAGCTCTTATATTAACCTAAAGTTAGTATAAGAAAAGTGTCAGTTCAAATTTTATAGTCAGAATGGATTACAAAATGCATAGTTTCTCTTTTTCTCTCTTTTCTTTTCCTTATTTAATTACAGCATTTCTTCTTTCGTGTTTCTCCCGACTTTAGGAAAAATGTGAATAAATTGTACTTTTTTTACGTTTTAATGTTGGGAATTAAATAATACAAAAAGACATAAATAAACATAAGTATTTGTGGACCTAGAAGTGGCGATTCTTTAAAAAGCTTCATTCTTGCATTGTGTCAACAATTTTTGTTTATTTATTTACAAAAATATTTGTTAATAATCAAAACAAAAATTAAAAATAAAAAAGCCAAAAATACATAAAAGTGAATTATTTAACAATAACAATTTTAATAAGTGCTCTTGTTTACTTTCTTTTAATATTGTAAAGCAAAAAAAATAACTAAAAATATTCTTCTGCGCAATTTAAAAACATGTAAAATTTGCCACCTTAAAGTTTCATTCGAGTGTGAATTGTTTTTGGAGAGTAAAAATTTGTAAAATTTTTCTAAGAAAATTTTAATATTTAAAAGCAATTCTTTAAAGTTAGTTCTTTTTATTGTACATTTTCTTAAAATTAAATACCATTTTATTTGAAATGAAATTTATAATTATTATAATATTCACATGCAAATATATCCAAGCTGATCCAATAGCATTGCCACCTCCCCATTTCCCCCATAAATATGGTGGATATGCAAATAGTGAACCACACTACCTGCACAGGTATTTTTAATTACTTCATGAATTAGTTATTCTTGTCCAGCCCAAACACATTTTTGGTGCGACAACATCCCCAACTTCAGGGAATAAATTTTGGCTCCGATTATATAGAAGGCGCACTTCAACAACCATTGGTTGAATAAATTAAAAGTCTAGAAATGTTAGTGAAAACTTTCAGTTACCCCCACACCATCTTGATGGAATCAACATTCCAACCGTGGCATCAATAGTTAACAGTGGTTCTGTTGATGACGGGGAAAACGGCATAGACCGAAACAGGATTGGAGCATTTTTAGATAAAATGTCACCACGTAATTCACCTATAGGATTTGAAAGGCCGCAAGGTCTAAATTTAATTAAATCAAAAGAATATTTTCTTTAGCCCCTACTACAATTCCACATAATTGGGAAGAAGTTGAGAGACAACAACCACCACCTTTACATCTACGGGGAAGAACTGATATCCCTAACCGTATTAACGGAAATTGGGCAATGGCAACATCAGGAGAATACGAAAGAAAATTCTTAAATAGATTTGATAAAATTTTTATATCATTTTTCTCATTAATTACTACTATTTTACTTTTAAATATTTGAATAATATAATTATTATTTTTCTCTCCTTAATAGAAAATGAAAGAATTGTTTTAATCAAAAGTATCTAGGAAGACTTGTTTATATTATTTATTTAATATATAAATATACAAATTATGTAGATTAGTGCAAAATTTGCACAAAAATAGTAAGTCGCAATCTGGTGGAATTAAATTTAGTATAGTATTTGTGTGGGGAATTATACTGGTCATAAAACTTGCTGATATAGTGAATTTATTATATTTCAAACAAAAGCTTCTCTCTCCTTCTTAAATATTTAGGTTTGTCAAGCAGTGCGAATCCGACCCGGAATGTAATTCCTAAAATTAAACTATTCAAAAATAAATGTCTAAAAAACTTACTTGTCAAGTTCAGCCATTTGAAGAAAAATATGTAAAGATTTTTCATTTTGCGCCAATGGATGACTATTAAATATTTCATTTAAAATTTAAAATATTTTACAAAATACCCTGCTACTTTGTTTAAGAATTGCTCAAGTCCTTTGCGTCGTTCTTCAATGAAAGTCTCCTCGAAGATTCCATCATCACTGCGAAATGGCAGTTGACGCTTTAACGCTTTACCTGGCAAAAGAGGAACAATAATCTGAAAAAAATAAAAAAATATAAAGATGTATTGTAGTAAATTCAGTAACCTTGCTATCACGTTCAAGTTCATTCCTCAACCATTCAAAATCGGAATAACGGCGCCTAACACTCGATTCCTTTAAAATATATTAGAAAACTCGATACATTTATCTCAAAATAATAAATTAATTTAAAAGATACCTTATGTTTGAAAACAGGTAAATTAGTGCGTAAACGAACTTCGTAGTCGGTGTAGCGATTCTTACCAACTCCATGGGTTATCTTTAAATACAAATTTAGATTTTTGATTTAATCTTAACTTTTGGAATACTTAAACAAATATAAAATCAATTTTCATATCATTAAATAAAACATACAGGATTTACAACTTCAATCTCGAGAAAATTTGCTGGAGGTGCATAAGCCTCATCTAAAGTCTGCCGCTTGGCCTGAAGACGTTGTGTTGCTGCTGCGCTCATTAATTTAGTAATGGTAAATTTCTCTAAATTAAACGTTTAATATAGAAATATTAAAAGAAATATAAAAACGTAAAAACGAATAAAAATTTAAAAATAAAATAAAAATTTATTTAAATTAATAAAAATTATAAAATGGGATCTACATTAAAATATTTAAAAATTACTATAAGAATTGATTATTGAATTACTGAAGTGAAATAAAGAATAATTAAAATCAAAAAATAATCACAGATAACTGATATGCTATCAAAATTCTAAAAATATTTTTCCCACAAATCTCTAGTGTGACCAACGATCAACACGCCCCATTTCAATAGGAGTTAATTGTAAAACAGCTCCTTTAAAAGTTTAATTAATTTTTTGAAAAAATAATTTAAAATAAACAAACCAATTGCTTTGAGTATGTGCTTACGACCATTGGCTGAATTTTGATTCAGAAATTGAACAAAAATATTTCTTAAATATGCCAAATTTGTTTGAGAACTTGCCAAAGAAAGTCGACCTACAAAACAAAATAAATAATGTTAAAATATAAAAAGTAAATACTTTCTAGAATACGAATTTCCTCCTTCAGTGTTTCAATTATTTGTAAATATTGAACATCTTTTAGCAACATTGCTTGCTCAATATCACGTACCTTCATTTCTAGAAGACGAATTACATTTCTATAAATAAGATAATTAATTTCTGAATATAATGAACAAATTCTCGACCTTAATTCTCCAATTTCTTGCTCACGTTTACAAAGTTCTTGTTCATAAAATATATTTCTAGCCGCGGCACCAGCTATCAATGAACCTTCTCCTCCAAAGTGGAAAGAGACAGGACGACTAGATTTGCGTCGATTTTGCAAAGATGACTGGAAGGATGCTAAAAGTAAAGGTAAAAATATCGCAAAAATAACTTTAATTGAATAAATTTAAAACGATACAGAACAGACCAGAAAAATCCAAGTGCTCATTCGATTGTGCTAATGAGATGGGACTGCCACAGCCAACTTCGGAAGACGGAGCACCAATATTTTCTTCTGTAAAATCAGCGTCCTTACAAAGCGGAGATGAAGGTTGTTTTTGATTAGTAATGCGAAATGCTGATATTAAAATAAATTTAAGTAAACAATTTAGATATTTCACTACATTTTTTGTATGATTGAGGCTGGTGAGAAGAGAATCCTGGACTATCAAGTGCAGATGAGACAGAATATTTTCTTGTAGATTGTTGTGGAGGATCCATTGGAAGATTATGCTGTGAATCGCCAGACGGTGGATAAGGTCCATAATTTCGAGAATAAAACGCAGCCAAACTGCTCCTTAAAATAAATTATCAATTGCAAAAATTAAATGGATTTACTTTGTAAATTCAATCTCACGATCTTTTTCAGCAACAATTTCAAGCATTCGAGCACGTTGTTTTTGTAGCTCTTCTTCTAATTCAGCAACTTGAAAATTAAAACGTGTTTGTATTATTTCGGAATGGGCAAAAATCCAAGTTAAAGAAAAAAACCTTTTTCCCTAGCATTAGCAGTTAGCTGAGAATATCGCTTATTTTGATTAGTTTCTAACTCAATGATCCGTTCTCGTAATAAATCTGCTGCCTGAAATAAAATTGTAATTAAATTAATATTATTCAAAAATTATGACTTACACTCTCATGTTCCCTTTTTGTTTTCTCGTGGTTAATTTCCAAAGTACCAAGTTTGCCCTGAAGCTGCGCGATTCGTGATTTAAAAACGTTCAATTCCCGACGAGATGCCATACAAGAGTCACAATAGCCGACAACGCCTACAGCTGATAAACTAACCGAAGAAGTATTTCGACTTATTCCCGGACTGTTTGCTCCTAGAAGGCCTGGACTCAAACGATCACTAGTTATAATATGATCTTCGCTGTTAGTGAGTGATGGTGATTCGACTACCTGCTGATTAAAATGAGTTGTTGGAGAAAATTCAGAAGGCAGCACAGCTAAATTAAAGTTATTTTAAAAATTTTCAAATTCAAACCAGCAATATCCAAATCTGGACGAAGTTCTCTGATTTGCTTAAATAAAGCATTAAAATGCTCTATTAATTTATCGACATTTTCACTCTCTGGTTCTACTTCTAACGCATAATTCAACTTTTGCTTCCTTCTTTCATCTTCTAAACTCCTTATTTTTTCCAAATTCATTGCCAACTCCTTTTCCAATTCAGCACATTTTTCTCCAACACAATTGCTTTTATGCTCAGCGAAAGCATATTTTTCACTAATTTCTTGTAATCGCTTCTCCAATTGTTCAATACGAGAATCACGTTCTCTCATTTGTGCACTTTGCATTGCATATCTAGTTCTTAAAGTGGCAACTTCTTGCTCTGAATTTGCCTGTAAATTAAAATTTAAACAATAACCAAAATCAAATACCTTAACATTCTCTAACTCATCACGAATAACACAAACACTAGGTGTCAATTCAGCTTTTTTTCGAAGAGCATTTATCTCTTGTTCCAGCTTTGGTATTTCCTTTAATTGTATTTCTGCTCGTTTTAGCAAATCATCTTTTAAAGCAAGACGTTGGCTCATTTCAGTAATCTATTGAATTAAATATCACAGCCGTATTACAATTTTTTAAATAAAAAACCTGATTTTCCAGATTTTCTGAACGTCTTTTTTCTCGTCCATATTGTTGTTGCATTTCAGCTAGCATCATTCCATGCTCCGTCGTTGCTCGTTCTAATTCATTCTGCGATTCGGCTAATTGTTCTCGAAGACGACGCTGAAATAAAGTAGATCTTGACAGAAAGTATAAAAATACCAAATTCTGTGATTTTGTTTTTTGAAGTTGCTGATTAAGTTGCTCCTCAAATTTTGTAGCGCATTTCTGGGCCTCCTCTTTTGCTTCCTATAAAAAACATTTGAATAAGGAGGGAAAAACGAAAATTAAAATCTCAAAATATTAATTTAGAATTTCATATAAAGTCAAAAATGATAAAACAAACCAATAAAGTTCGTCTGTCGCGCTTAAACTCGATTTCCTTGCGCTGAAAGAAATAGGGAAAAGTTATCAAAATTTATATTAAAAATAATCATCTAAAATAAACTAACAATAAAAACATTTTAAAGCAATAATAAATTTAACCTTGTTTATTAAAGTCAAAGTTGCTATTGCATCACGTAATGACTGTAGTTGGCTTTTGGCCTAAAATAAAATTAATTATCAAATCAATAAATTAATTAACCTTTGAGGATATTTTGTCATCACTTTCTTCTTTTAACTGCGACGAAGTTTCAGCTGAACTTTCAATGTTATTCTCTTCCTGATTTCCTTCACTGTTCGTTTCGTCTGGCATTTTTTCAGAAAGAACACCCAACGCAACCTCTAAAGATTGTTTCTGTGTTTCGAGCATTTTGTATGCATTAACCGTAACTGTAAAGAATTTAAAGAATTAATTAGAAATATTAAAGTTTACCGCTAATTTTGCCCTCATAATGAACAATTTGCGCATTCTTTTGTTCCAATTCCTTTTCCAATTGAGTACATTTGGAACAAGTCATTCTTACATTAGATTATAATTGTAAATTTATGACTTAACATAAAAAGTATTTATTTGAAAAAAACAACAAAAAAGAATAAATGTATATATTTATTTAATTAATATTTATTTAAAAATTGAAGTATCCTAAAGCAATCGAAAAAAAAATGTGAAAAGCAATGGCCTTAAAATTATAAAAAAATCTAAAATAGCACAAATTATTTTCTTTTCACACAAAAATTATCAAAAATCAATAAACATGGACTAATCCATAAACAAAAACCCAAAAGAGCACATAAGTGAAAAGTCCGCCGATCAAAGAATGTCCAAACAAAAGTGATCGTTTTGTGAAAAATGAGGTCCATTGAAAACCAGCCTTATAGTCCCAAATAAGAGCCTAAAATGGTTAAATAGTAAAAACTGATCTAAATTTAAAAACCTGAATGAGGACACAAACAAAATAAAAGACAAATCCCATAATTCCGGTAAGGCCAAGAATTCCACTGGCTATTCCAGAAACGGCCGATTGACAAGTTCTGCTTTGTTCTAATACCTAAAAGTTGAATCTAAAATATTTTAAAATTAAAATTAAATTTACATAAAAATTATTTCGAACTGCAGCCTCATTAAACATTTGTTTTTGTTGTTGCTGTTGTAGCCTCGATGATTTTCTACTAGTTAATGGAGCAGCTGAAGTTGCTGGCAAAATATGTTCAGGAGATTCTGTGGAATTTTGTAATTGATTTGTTGGAATAGAATGAGGATGTTTTTTGTTTGCCGAAGATGTGGATTTTTTCTCAGACTTCATTTTAGTTTAAATTTGTTTGAACACCTCTCAAAACTAGCTTGAAAAAATATAAACTATAGAATAAAAATTCCTTTACGTGGAATAAAAGGGAAAAAACAACGGCAGTCGGTTGAGTGTAGCTAGTTGAGCGCCAAACAACGTTTATTGTCAGTCTTTATTTATTTATTGTCGGTCTTTACAAGGAGAAGTTGCGAGGTTGAATAAGAACTCGAATCCTTGGGAGTAAGTACCTATTAAATTAAAATGTGATTCATAAACCCTAGGAAATACCCTTGAACTAGTTTCAGGTTCAGAAGCTTTCGTATCTTCCCCTTCATCACTTGAAAACGACTCGTCAGGATCAGCTTCCCCTTCCCGACACAAGATTTCCGGCTCATCAAAAACGAATTCCTCTATTTCTTCCACGTCGTCAGCTTCTTTCCAACGCCGTATTTCATCACCGATCGCTTTTGCTAGGCGACGTTCAGTTGAATTAATCGGGGATTCAGGTATACTCCCAGAAAATTCAATAGTTAATGGTTCAATAACATTTTTTGGATTAATTCGTTCCATTTTTGGAAAGTTTTTATTTTAATACTATAAAAATTAACTACAATGTGGATTTAAAATATTAGAAACAATTAGATAAAAAAATAAAACCCAAAAAAGAATCGAACTTTTTAGAGAACCCTTTGCATCATGCCATTCCTTATTTTTGGCCTAATTTCTATTTTTGCTCATACTTCATACCAAGTACAAGTACGAGATGCGGGATGAGCATGAATTTTAGTACGAGCGTCCAAGTTCTGTATGAAAGTCATCCTTCGATTCCATCAGTCTGCAGTTAACTTGTGCTTTTTTAACAAATTTTATTTTTAATAAAAACATTTAAAAATAATTTATTAATTTCTCTAAAATAATTCCATTATTCTCTTCCAGTTCCACTAATCTCTACAATTCATTGATCACACCTTCCCAATTCCTTCTGTTAATGGCCAAACGCCGCTGGCTCATATGCTCAATTAATCACCCTTCTTTTAACACATTTTCTTTTATTTTCTTACTGCTTCTTTTATTTGTTTGTTAGTTTTTCTTTCACCTTCAACAAGAAATCTTTTAAAATGTGAGCCGTTTCTCTGATAATTAGTATTAAATTATATACAAATATTTATGTTTGTATTTTCAATTATTTTATTTATACATATAACTAATAAAATTCTTGTCAAAATTAGAACAAATACTTCAAGAAAGTAGACATAATTCAGACATTAATAGTTTGGATAAGCCCACTAACCTCCAAAAAAACAGACGCCAATTGCCGTATTAATTTTTCCTCCTCGCAAATATCGTTAAGGAGGGCTAAATAACACCTCCTTTTTTTATTGTTTTTAGATAATTATTTTTGACCAATAAAAAAATTATAGAGAGATTTTTTATATCCTACACGAAGGTTTTAAATTTTTTTTAAAATCACCCAAATATTTTAGAAATTGGAGGGTTATATTTAGAGAATTAGTAGGTTTTAGTAGGAAGTTTAAGAAAATACACTAATTTTTACTTTATTTAAACATTTTATTTTTGCAAAATAAATCTTTATTTTATTTTAGTTGTAGACTACTAATTTACAAGCAATTTAATATTATTTTTATTTAAAAAAGGATCTATTTCAAAGTTTTTATTTTTATTTTATTATTATTATGTTACTCTTCCAACTTTTGTTTTTATTTCTTTTTTTTTCATCCCTTCTTTAATTTAAAAGAATATTTTTTTTTATTACCAGTTGTCCCATCATAAATACAAATATTCTTCCTCTCTAATATTATCCCATTTATTTCCTTCCATTTTTTTCCTTTTCCACGTCCACTTAAATAATTTCTTCCATTTAATATTTACTTAAAATATCCGTGGATCTCGAAAGAAAAAATCAATGAAATATTAAATAAAAAGCTTAAAACTTTAAATAATTCTGAGTAAATAATTTTTTGTTAAAATTAAATAGGTAAATTTGCAACAAATGTTTAATAAAAAATTTTGAATTTTAAAAGTTTTAATTTTCCTTTTTTTTTCTTTTTTTTAATGTCCACTAATATTTAAATGTCCAAAATTTAAAATTTATTAAATTTGTTTATGGTCAAAAAATGTTTGCCGGCTTTAAAAACTAATTTAACTAAAATATTCAATAATATTAAATTTATTTATAAATAAATTGAAGCTATATTTTTTTTAATTAAAAAATTTTTTTTCAATTTTTATTAAATAATTAAATTAAAAAAAGCAACATTTTTGTTAAAATAACAGTAAATACTTTAAAATATTATTCTTCAATGAAATTAACCCGTTTTAAGGATTTTAGGATTATTTATATGTAAACAAAAATATATATTTTTAGGTAAATCTAATACATTTATTCTTTCTTCTTTCTCTATTTTTAAAATTTATATATTCATTTTCACGCATTTATTTCTCTAAAATTGTGAAAACAAATTTATTTATTTATTTTACTCGCGCAGGTTTTAGGTATATTTTTATTATTTCTTTCTCTTTTGTGTTCGTTTGTCCATTTCTGTTTTGCTCATCTTTGCTTTAAATAAATTTAAAAATATTTAAATAATTATATTTTTATTAACAAAATAATTATTTAAAATTCAGGGGGTTGACTTCTGATAATTATTTTAAAAAAACTCGCGCAGGCTTAATTAAATTTTAATTTTTAAAGAATATTCTTAAAAAAAAAATTATATTATATTTTAAATAATTTATTTATTTTTCTCTTAAAAATATTTATTTTTACCTTTTAAAATTATTTTAAAGAAAAATTTATTTTAAGAACAAAAACCAATAGAGCGAAATAATTGCACTCAATTTGTGCGCTTCTTTTATTTTAACTTTTTTTGAAAATTTCTGGAGCAGATATTAATATTAAATATTTTTTAAAATAATTATTTATATTATTTTTATTTTTAAATTTAATATATATTTTTTTTTCTAAAATTTATTTTAATCCTTTTATTTATTTCTTTTTTTTTGAAACAAATTTACTAAAAACTGGCAGATTTTATCTATTTGCCATTGCCTAATTGCTTAAAACTAAATTTTCAATTTCATGCAATCCCTACTCTTCCAATTTAATTTTTCTTTTTTTTCTCTTTTTAAGCCAAATAATATATACCCAAATGTGTATAAAAATCTAAATAAAATTTCAAAATAAAATTATATTTTAAATTTTTAGAAAAACAAAAAATTAATCTTTTTTTCCTAAATTTAATTTTGAAAATTAAAAAAAAACGAGAATCATTTCCAAATAAAAATTTTTAAGAAAAAATATGTACTTTTCAGTTATCCCCCTCCCCTCTCCCCCCCCCCCCCCCCATTTTCTTTCCTTTTTTCTCCAAAATAGAATCAACTGTATTAATATTTATCATGCTTTAAGATTGGATGATTTAAGATCAACTCGACAAATTAACAAGAACTCTATCGGATCAGGATTGGTTTTTATATTTTCAAATCCCGATACCTGTCATCCTTTTTTGAAAAAAAAAGAAAAAAATAAGGGAGAAGTACCGAAAAAAATATTCCTCCTTTTCTTTTTTTGTATTTGATATTTATTTTATTTCTGCTAATTAACAAATTGTTTTTTTGAATTTGCAACTTTATTCTCAAAATATAAATAAGAAAATACCAAATAATATTCTTCATTTCTTTTACTAAAAATATTTGTCACAATTGTGAAAATTTTACTAATAAAAAATATAAAAACAAAGCAACGCCAAAAAGGCAATAAAATAAAAACAAAAAATAATAAAATTCTCTTCTCTACTTTTTTTATTTTCTCAATCCAATCATGGAAAAAGCCGACAACAATATAAGAAATTTTTGTGAAGAAAAGTATTAAAAAAATAAGAAAATAACACTCACAAAAATACTTAAAAACAGTTTTGCCAAAAACTAATAAAAACAACTTATTTTCTTTTCTACTTTTCTCAATTTCCCAAAACAATTGAAATTTATTTTGGTTTATATATATTGTTTAGTTTCTTCTTTTTTTTTGTTAAAATTTTCAAGACTGATTAATTACTGAGGAAATAAAAAATTAATTAATTAAACAATTAATTGTTATTTCCACTTAAAGAATTTTAAAAGTGTTCATTTTCTATTTTAAAAAGAAATATTAAACAAATCCTTCCTTCCAAGTAAAAATTTTAAAGGAAAAAATATTTTGCTTTGATTATTTTTGTTTATTTTTTTTTCTAGTTATTTTCACACCATTCTTCTTTCTTCAAACTCTCTTTTTCTTTTTTAAAGTCCTTAAAAAGCATTCTTCTTTTATTAATTTTAATTAATTGGTTATATTTTTTGTAAAAATTTATTTTAATTATTTGATAAAATTAAATCTTTTGCCATAAGTAATTATTTTAAAAATTTTACAAGAACTCTTCGAGAATTTCTCCTCAAGCAAAATATAAATTAAATATTTTTTAAAGAAATTTTCAATCATTTTTTAAATTCTTAAAAATCTCTCCATATATTTACATTTTATAAACTTGTCCATATATCCAACCAAAAAATAACCAATCCCTTGAGAGAATAATTTGGTAAAAAGAAAATTGCAGCGGTTTTAGCTCTTTCCGCTCATGTGGAAATGGGTGGTGGTGGTTGTTATTTTTATATATTTTCTTTATTGATACTTTGGAGAAAATTTTTGAAGTTTTTTTTTGAATTTATGGGTGGTCAAACCATATAGGTATTTTAAACCTTTAATTTAAATAACCCTTTAAATTATATCCCTCTTTACATTTGTTTTTCAGTACAAACTCATCCATTTTCATTATTTGTTTTAATTTTAAATTCAGATTTTAAATTAATTTAAAAAATGAAGTCATCTACAGCTGGTCTCGAAAAACGAAAGCAATCAGCTAAAAGTATGTCTGCAAAAAGTGCTCCACCAAAAGCATCAACAGCAAGTAGTCATGAAATGGCCCCGTTTTTTTCTATATTTTATCGGGGAATTTCTTCAAAAATTAATAGATCGGCTAGTAAGATTGATTTAGATGGACAGAATGAACAAATTGGTGTTACAAGCAGAGTTTGGGAATAATTAAATAAAATCAAAATTTATTCTTTTTAAAGAAATTTGTTTCGACTTTTTCTGCCGATAAACCTCCAATACCTTCAGCATTAAAAGGAGCTAAAGGAAATAATGTTGCCGATGCAGCAATTCATAGAAGAGGTACTGCTCCATCTAGTGGACGGTCTAAATCTACTGTTGAATTGGCAAAAGAAAAGGCGGCAGCCGAGGGGAAGACTTGGAGAGAAAATGTTGAATCAAGTAAATAAATTGAAATTTAAATATTTTTTTGTTATTTAGCAGGATCACCAGTTAGTGTACTTAAAAGTACTATTGGTATTAATTCAGCTCCAACATCTCCACAACGCCAGAGACGATGGTATATATATTTTTGAAGTATTTTCTTTAAGAAAATTTTTGTTTAAAAATTCAAAAAATTCTTTTTAGGCCATTTAATATACGAGGATCCAAAGCTCAATCTCAAGAACCGACACCATTCCCAGTTTCACAACAACAAAACGGTTTTCATTCTAATAAACCCACAACAACAACATCTTCACAACTAACATTATTAGACAATCAACAATCATCAGAATTACCTCCTCCAGTCCCTATTAGGCGAAAACAAGGGCAACAAGAAGAATTGGTAAAATTAAAATTAATAATTGTTTTTTATTAACATCTCATTTTTAATAGCCCCAATCTTCACAAATTAACCAACTTCAACATCAACAACAACAAGAAGCAACTCCTTTTATCACTCCAAAAACATCTAACACAACAGCAACAACATTTACTACTCGTCCCCCTCCTCTTCCAAAAATTTCTTTTGATCGTCTTCCCCCGCCTTCTTTACCTTTCGCTGAAAAACCCCCATTATCCCCTTCTAATTCCTCACTTCCAATGTCTTTTGTGCAAAGAATTAAATTACACAAAGGTGTTAGAACTGGTAAATTACCTGTAGATGCACTTAAACAACAAACACCTGGATTTGAAACTGGAAGAGGTTTAAGAGTTATATTAAAAGCTATTCTAAATAAATAACTAAAAAATAACTAAAAATATATTCTTTCCTTCCCTTCAATATTGAGGTAATGATTAAAAGAAAAAATGATTCAACCTTTCTTTTTCTTTTTATTTATTTCAATCCCATTAATGGATTGAAGAATGATTCGACAATAAAAAAAGAAAATAAAAAATATTCAAAGTTGTTTTTAATGCTTTTCTTTATATTTTCATCTTTTCACTTTCCACGTAAAATGAAAAAAATTATTTTAAGATTTTAGATAAAAATATTCTAAAAATTTTTATAAAAAATAAAAATATTTTTATAAAATCCATTCTTTTTTTACAAATAATTTAAATTTATTTTAAAGTTCAAACTTCAATTATTTTTAAAAAATTATTATTAATTTTTAGCTTTTCTCCACTCAAATTTATTTATTCAATTAACCAATACTCTTTTTCATTCTCCTTTCCATCTCTTATTTACCTCAAAATGAATGAAAAAGCTTTTCCTTAAAAACATTTTTATTTATTTTTCTTTTTCATTCCATTTATTCTCTCAAGTATTTTTTAGCTTTAAAAATAGTAATTGAGGTAAATAAAATAATAAATAAATTCCTTGGTGGAACATTAAATTAGGGGAATTAAACTAAAAATTTAGACATTAAAATAATTTTAAAAAATTTAGGAGAACGATTTTTCGCTTCAAGAAGAACATCCAAAAAAGCAATGCCTGGGGCGGGTATTTATATGTCTGCTGATGCAATACATGAATTACGTAGTGATCCAGATTATATAGTTGAGGCATTAATGGCTATTGGAGATGAACAACCGAAAGTTGCTAGGTAAATAAATAAAAATAAGTTTGAAATTATGTTGGAAAGTAAAAAAATAGAAAATTTTATTTTTATTTTGGATTTCTCCACAATTTTATTTATTCAATTAACACATTTTAAAATCTTTTATTAAAATTAATTTATTAAAAGAAAATAAATTTCCTTTATAAATTAAAGATCAACACCTAAACATGCCTATGTTTCTCAAGATATTAAAAGAGTAAACGACAGATTATCTCGTAATTGTATTTATAAATCTGATGTTTATGAAAAAATGGTAAAATTAAAAGAAAAATTAATTTTTTAATTAAATAAAAAGGTAAACGACTCTTTATTGGTTTGTGATATGTTACAAGACCATTTAGATAATGTTATTAGCGGAGTTAGGGCTAAATCACCAACAGCTTTATCTTCTCCTTTTACAACGCCCCCAGGAAGGTCTTTTAAAAGAAATAAATACATATTTTTAAATAATTTTATTTTAGTCCATTTATGACTCGTTCAACTTCTTTACATTTTCCTGGTTCTTCAACCCCAATTAATCGAGTAACTATTTCTGTTAGGTATTGAAAATAAATTTAAAATAAAATTTACTTTTTTATTTTCTTTTTTTGTCCAATGGCACAACAAGCAATAAATCATCGTTTACCTTCACCTTCAAAAGGAATTAATAATAATATTTCTCGTTCTGTCCCTCCACAACAACAAATTATTTCTTCTAATAACAAAAATATATTAACAACAAATTCAACTTCATATTCATTAAGTCCATCTAAACAACAACCTCCACCTTTACTTCGAGTGACACAAGCCTCTTTTAGAGGTATTTTAATTTAATAAAGAAAATATTTTCAAATAAACTTGGGTAACGTAAATGCTTAAATAATTACACTGGATAATTATTGTTTCAATGCTAAAGGAGGTAATTAATAGGGAAATATGTTGAATTTGAGGTAGATATCAATGAACGAAATTGATTTATCAAGGTCTTGGGATTAAAATTAAAAAAAAAAGAATTATCGAATTTTGTTAAGTTTGAAGCGACCTTTATTAAAATTAAAAATCCTCTAAATACCTCTATCTATATTTAATTAATATTTATTTTTAAGAAAGCATACCTTCTCAAAATAATCATTTTCCTACTGCTACAAGTAATGGCCCAAGAATTTCTGAAAAACATTTACATTTTGTTTGAATGCAAAAAAACTATTCTTACGGGTATTTAATTAATTCTTCTTTAAAAATGTATATTTATTTTTTGGTTGTTAATTAAATATATTTTTATTTTTTAAATCAAACCCTTAATTGTACAAATATATATCTATATTTTAATAAAATATTTGTTTATTTTTTTTAATTTATCCTAAGCTTCTTTTAATAATTAAAATAACAAAAATTATAAAATATTTATTTAAACAAATATATACAAAGAAAATAATAATTAATAAAATAGAGGTGAGATAAATTAAAGGTTTAGACTTGCAAACATATTTATGAAAAAGAGATGCACAAATATAATTTTTTAATAAAATTTTTCTCCTATTCGAAGGTGGGAGAATTATTTTTATATTATTTTAAATATCACATTTAAAATACCCCTCTCTATATATATACCCCCTCCTAGACATCCAAACCTCCTTGGAATGAGTGAATAGCTGGAAAGTTTGGAGGCCCCCTTTCACATCCTTTTCCTTTGGATGTCAGCTAAACCCCCAACCCAAATGATGTTAATAGATAGATTCCATATTTTAATGAAGGAAAGGATTTTAAATGAGCAAAGAAAAACTTATTTAATTTCAACGGAATGTGTTTACATTTTTTAGGTATTTTTTAAATTTTAATAGCTCATAACGGCTTCTTTATATTCCGACCCATCACAAGTAAATAATTCATCCAATTTCCAATGTAATGTTTCAAATGTTGGCCTTTTCTCTGGATCTTTATGCCAACATCTAAATTTATTTATTATTTTTAAAAATTTAAATATTTATTTTTACTGTAGCATAATTTCATATAAAATAGCTGGACAGTTTGGAGGTATAGGCATTCTATATCCTTCCTCTACTTTATGCAAAACTTCTGTATTGCTCATTCCAGGATATGGAATACGGCCAAAAGTTACTAATTCTGTTAACTAAAAATTATTTTTAATTCTAAATTCAAAATTTTCTTTACCAAAATACCAAAAGACCAAACATCCGATTTAACTGTAAATTTATTGTGAGTAGCTGCTTCTGGTGCTGTCCACTATAAAATAATTTTAATATTAATTTTTTAAATTTTTAATAATTACTTTAATTGGAAATCTAGCCCCTTCCCTAGCCTCATATTCATTTTCGCGAATTAAACGAGCTAAACCAAAATCTGCAATTTTAACAACGAATGGATGTGAAATTAAAATATTTCTTGCAGCCAAATCCCTATGAATAAAATTCTTTTCCTCCAAATAACTCATTCCAAAAGCTATTTGTGCAGAAACATCAACTAATTGATGTATATTACATTTTCTACCATTTCCTTGCAGAAAATGAAGTAAATTTTCTAAAAAGAATTTTTTAGAAGAAAATGTTTAAGTAAAACACCTTGCATTAATTCAGTAACAATTAAAAAAGGTTCTTCTCTTGTACAAACAGCATATAATTGTAATAATTTTGGATGTCTTAATCTTTTCATTATTTGTGCCTTTTTTGTAAACAAAATATTTAAAATACTCCCAAAACAAAAAATACTTCAGTCAAAAAATCATCAACACAAGCAGTCGAACCCGGCTTTAATTTTTTAACAGCAACGGGTGTTGAAGATTTCCATCTTGCTTCCCAAACCTTTTTTTATTTAAATTTCTCAAAATATTTTTCTAATTAATTATTTTTTACTTCTCCAAATTGTCCAGCCCCAATTTGATGAATTAATCTTAAACTACGCCTATCAATTTCCCATTGATCATCGTGTGTAAATGTTGAAGTAATTGGTGTCTAAATAAATTTTAAAAATATTTTCTTTTTATTTTTTTCTCCTCACTTCAACTTTCAATGCCGGTTTTGTTAAAACAACACATAATCCATCTTTTAAAAAATTATTATTTTTTTAAATGTTTTTTCTTTTTATTTACCAGCATCTTCTTGGTAATGTTGTACTAATTCTTGAAGTGTTGCAAATGCAACACGACGGGCAATAAAGAATCCTAAAAATTAATTTTAAATATTTTTATACAAAATTAAAGTTACCTCCATTATCTAATTGTCTAATTCTGTAATGTTTAACAATTCCATCATCGAGGACTTTAATTAATTAATTAATTATTTAATTTAATATTTAAAAATCTCAATTTTAACCAGAAAGGGAAAATTCATCTTTTCTTGACTCAGAATCTCTAACAAGAAAAGAGCCATGTTCATTAACAGGAAGTAACAAAAGTTTTTCTGATTCAATTCGACGTAATTTACCAAAATACCAACTAATTTAAAATTTAAATTAGAAAATATTTTTATTTTTCTTTACGGTTGTGCATCTATTGTTTTATCTCTAGCAACATAATTAGCTGGAATATATCCACATTTACCAGAATTTAAGCTTCTAAAAATTAAATATTTGTTAATTTATGCATAAATAACTACCTAGCATACCACCAATCACCTTCCATACTGTTAAGTATTTCTAATGAATCTCCACGTTTAAAATTTAAATCGTCTTCTGTTCTGGCATCTATTTAAAAAAGTAATTATTTTTAATTAAAAATCTTACTAATATGTATATCTGAAATAAAATTCAGTCACCCTCTTATTTGTGTTTATTTTAGAAAGGAAAATAAATGCCATTTTTGAGTTTCTTAAAAAATATTTTATTTAGTTATGGATACTACTTAGCACCTTAAGATTGTTTTTTTAAACAATAAAGTCAACTTCTAAAGCTTTGCCACAACCACCCTACATTCACATTCCTAACCCAAAATAAACTTCTCAGAGTTTATTAAACAAAATTTAATTAGAACTTCATTTCAGATATTCAAAAAAATTAATTTTTTACAATAATCAAAAAGTGCAACAAATAAATTATTAATTCCTCCCCCAATATCATTTTGTTGTTTTTGTGTAGCCAAAGGAGTTGTTGTAACAATATTTTTATTTTTTTGAGTAATATAACAATTTGTATTATTACTATTTTGGCTAATACTTTTAGTAGTAGAACTTCCATAACCTCCTCCTCCATTACTTAAAATTGTTGAAGAAGGGGAACTATTACTTTTAACAGATTTAAGTATTGCATTTGGGTGTGTTGGAGAAGAAGAAGAGGAAAAAGAAGAAGAATTAAGTATTTGCTTTCCTAAACAAATTTTAATTTTAAATCTTTTAATTTAAAGAAAATAACCAAGTTCGTGAATAGCAAAATGTTTTTGTAATAAAAGTGCTGGGGGTGGAGGAGGAGGTATTCCTTTAATAAAAGGAAGTGGCTGTCTTCTTTCTATTAAATTATTATTTCTTCTAATATTATTGTTATCTTTTCCACAACAACTTAAACAATTCCCCATAATTATTTAGAGGGAGGAATTCTAATTTTAATTATAACGGAAGTTGATGAAAATAAATAATTAATATTTTAAACTAAATATTTTTCTAAAAAAATTATTTAATTAAATATATATTTACAATAATTTAGGTATTTAAAAAACAAGATTACCTTTATTTAATTAAAAACTAATTTGGGGGCAAATCATCCCCCCCCTCTCCTTTATTTTATCCTTTATTCAATAAAAGAAAATATCTAAAAAATATTTGAGAGAAAAATAACGGCGCAATCGTGCTATATTAAAAAAAAGTTTTGTGTACTAGAATGTTTGCAGCTGATTAAGAAGAAAATTAAACAAAAATATGAATGATTGAATAAATAAAGAGGGATAATTAAATAAATAATTAAATAATTATGTTAATAAACAATTTAATTATATTTAAAATATTTTTAAAAAATTTTAATAAAAAATTTTTATTTAAATATACTACTAAATACTTCCTTTAAATTTATTATTAAAGAATAAAAAGATTTAATAAACTAATATTTATTTATAAATAAATTACGCCATTTTCCTTTCAAGATTTAATTTTTTGATTAAGAGAGAAAATAAAAAATGTTTTAAATAAATATTTATTTAAATATATATTTCTTTTAAAAAATTAAATTTTAGCTAATAATGTTACAAACAAAGGATAAAATAAATCCGTGAGAGAGTAATAAATTATCTAATAAATATACAAAAGAAATAAAGAAAAATCTGTGAGAAAATATTTATTTATTTTTTACTTAATAATCTGAGTAAATTAGCGGGACTTTAAGTAGTTTTTGCTTTTACAAAAAAAAAATATATAATATTTTTTGTATTAGCAAACCGGTCGGTTACTAGTTTATATGTATTTTTAATGATTTATATTGAAAAAGAGTGAGAGGTTTTCTAAAAATTCGATAATAAAAATTAATTTTTAAATTTTTTTTTGTAATTAAAAATTATTTTACAAAATTAATTTACAAAAATAAAAAATAAATTTAAATATTTATTTCTATTTAATTTTGCTTCTCCAATTGGTTTTTAGTCGGATTTTATTTTTAAATAGACTGTTTTGGATGAATGAAATAATATTAAACAAAAATATTTTCTTCTTTTTCTTCCACTTTATACAAAATGTGAAAAACCAAAAAATATTCTTCTCTATTTCTCCCGGTTCTTCAATTAAAATGACGAGAAGAATTTTGTGTTTTGAAGAGAGAGGAGAAGGGAAAAAAGAAAAATGAGCTACTAAATGGTTGTTGCTGCTGTTGCTACTAATAAATAAATAAATAAATAAATATACTTCTTCTTCTACTAAACAACCGATCATTGTCGCCCTAGCTGTTTGCGACGATAAATACAAGAAAATATATATTTATAGAAAAGTGTGAATATATACATATGTAAATTGTTTTTTAAATTAATAAATTTTTAAAAATTATTTAGAAAAGGATAATGAAAAGTTGAAGGAATTGAGAGGAGGGATTGGAGTGGGGGTGAGAGTGAAGGGATTTGTTGGTAATTTGGCTCGAAAACTAACAGATTTCTGACACGAAACATGTTTATTTTTGAAAAACATTTTAAAAAAAGATTATGTAGGTACATATATGTATTTTATGTGAAATTGAAACATTTATATTTACTTAATTCTAAATAATTATATTTAATTTTTAGAATAGAAATAAATTTAAAATTCTAAAAATAACTGAAGCGAAATAAAAAAAAGTACATCTATCTATCTCTATTTTTATTTATTTATTAGTGCGAAATTTTCGATCAAACTGCGCCAATGGAGATGATCCTTTACAATCGACTGACCTATGAAAATTAATGAAGAGAAATTAGTGGAGGAAATAAATTAAAGAAAAAAGAGATTTAGAGAAGGAATCAATAAATTAAAAAATTAAAATTAAATATTTAAATTTAAAAATTTTTTTTAAAAATAGGTAGTTGACACAAAAATAAATCCAAATTAAATTGCCGCAACAATTTTAGTTGGGATTTTTTATATTTATTTATAAATAGATCCATTTTATTCTCATCATGTTACCAATGCTTAGCCTAATTTTAAAAAATTGCTCTTTACTAATCGCCCAAGGTCATTAAAATTGGATACTGATGTGAACATTTTAAAGAGAGAAGAGTGGAAGTTTTAATGTAAAAAAGGTATTTACTAGCTAGTATGTAGATTTTAAAATAAATAAGGAAATGTACATATAATCAGAAATAGATTTAAAAAAATAACTAATATACAAATTAATTAAAAAATTTATTTTAATAAAAAATACTTTTTTCTTTGAAATATTTAATAAATATTTCACTCACTTCATAAATAATTAAAATCACAAAATTGTTAAACAAAAAATAATTACTTAGGATAAAAAATAATTTTACTATGTATGTATAATATTCCTCTATTTTTGTTTTGTAACTATGGTGTGTAACATAATTATAAAGGAACCCATATTTTCGATCATATCTCGAGTTTTTCTGGATGAATTGGGTTGAATTTTATATATGTGATAAAAAACCTTATTTTGACATAACATGCAAAAAATTTTATTTTGTTACATTTCTTATATTTAATATTTAGGGAAATTTAATCTCTTATATATATATATATATATAATTTAAAAAAAGTATTAAAACTTCGTTTTAGTAAAATATTTTTTAATTTTTTTATAATTACATATTTATTTCAGATTCTTTAAACGTTTTCTAAAATTATTATTCCTTTTCTTTTTAATTTTTTTTATTTTCTTTTTTTCCAAAATTATTTTTTTATTAATTAATCGAATTTAAAAAATAAAAAATAAAGTAAGGCAGCCTTATGTCACTTATTGTCACCCACTGCTTAAATCTATAAAAGATGAAAAAGAAAATTTTGGAGGAAAAGCTTAAAAAGAGAAAAAAGAGGGAGAGAAATACATATATACACACACAATCGTTAAATATGTACTACATACTTCTACCTATATTTTCCATATTTTCTATATGTTTTGTCGAGAGCGTAAAAAGAGAAAGACATGCTTTACATAATTTTTTGGAAGACGAATTTTGTTGACTTTTTTGGGGAGTTTAACAAAAATAAATATTTTTGTGAATGATTTTGTGTTAAATTTTAATTAAATTTATCAACTATTAAGAATACAATTTAATTTTTCCTAAATTTTTCCTAAAAAATAAATTTTAATTTTCATTATTTTCCTTTTTAAATTACCCTTTTCGTTTACTCAAAAGCTTTTTACGAAGCGCAATAATATTATTAGAATTGTACAAATACTGGATGGCACAAAATGGTTTCCTCTTAAAAATTGGCATACTACATAGTTAATAGAAATATTTTTATCCATCCTTATTTTGTTTTTCTTCCTTATTTTTTTAACAAATATTTTTTTTATTTTTATTACAAATTTATAGAATAAATATTTATTTTTATTTAAATATTTAAAAAAAAAATAAAAAATTCCATTATTGACTATATATTCAATTAACATCAAATTTTATCTATATTAATAAAAAATACCTAAATACTTTTTTTCAATATTTTTTTCTTATTTTAACAATTTATTTTTTTAGTTTCAATAAATTAAATGCGTCGCCGAAGACGTACTTATTATTTTTAATTAATTAATTTCGATTTATTTTAAACAATAAAAATATTTAAAAATGAATTTATTAATTTATTTAATATTTTTTCTATTAATTTTTGAAAATTTTAAATGTAGAGAACAACAAAGAGAAAGGAAATTATTACATTTGGGAATTGAAAATGTTTTTTTTAAATTAATTTTAAAAATTTCAAAAATTATTTAAAGGATCCAAATGTCCAATTTCAATGTAAAGGGGCTTTAGGGGATTATGCAGCCTGTTTATGTAATAATAATGTTAAAGAAGTTGCTTGTATTAATGCACAATTTGTTGATACAGCAATATTTCAATATATGCTTGGACATTATAAGTAAAAATAAATTAAATTAATGATTGGAAATGTGATTTGGAAATGTTTTTCTTTCAAATAAGATAACAATCCTTATCCCTATAAGGACTGAATTTATGAATAGTAAATTATGAACTTTGAAACACTTATCGGGAAATTTGAAGATAAAATTCTCTCTTTTTTTATCAACAAAATTATCAAAAAAAAATATATTGAGAAGTGAAGTTAAATAATATAATATTTTATTTAATTATAGCGATATTGAACAATTAACTTTTCATGGAAATAATTTCCAAGACCTTCCAGATGGTTCTCTTTTTGGACCTGCAATACTTGAAAATTTGCGAGTTCTAAATATTTCTGCTAATGTTAGTTGAGAAAATAAAATAATTATTTATTTTTATTTATTTAAGTATATCGTTAATTTACATCGAAATGCTTTATCTGGATGTCCAAATATTGAAATACTCGATTTAAGCAACAATGAGGTTTTTATAAGGGGAAATTTACAAAAAAATTTTAATCAAAAAATTCTCTCATTTTTATCGTAGTAATTGGGAAAAGTAAAAGGAAAGGAATTAAGTCTTTAAAAGAAATATTAATTATTTTAAATTATTTCTAAATTTTAAATTAGAATTTTTTTTAGATTGTCTTAAGTGAAGAAAATATTAATTTTCTTGATCATACTCCTCGATTAAAAAAAGTTTATCTAATTTATTTATTTAATTAAAATTACTTTATTTAAAGCTTTATTTGAGAAGAGCATTTACTACTCCCTTAAATAAAAGCAACCAATTTAATTTATTAATTCGTCTTCTAGAAAAAGCCCAATTAAAAAGATTGGAAGTTTTGGATTTAAGTTATAATTATTTTAATAATATTCCCTTTAATTTGCCATGTTCTTTACCTTCTTTAAGACATTTGGATTTACGGTTAGTTTTTGTTTGGAATTAAAATTATTTTAGGGTTTGTTTTTACTCTAAAAAAGGTCAGTCCGTACAGTCATGTCTCCACTTTAAGGCAAATCTTTTTTGAGCCCCAAGGGTTTTCCTACAATATTTTGAATTTAAAAAGAATTAAAAAAATGATATTTAATTATTTAATTTTATTTTTCAGTCAAAATATGTTAAAAACTTTATCTCTAAATATTTCTTGTCTTCCAAGAATTTCTAAAATTAATTTAGAAAGGTAATTTATTTAATTAAAATTTAAATTTAAAATTTATTTTTTAGAAATTATTTTCATTTTTTGGATTCAGAATTTCAAACATTTGCTGAACAATTAAATAAAAATAATGCTTTAACACAATTACAACTTAAAAATAATTTTTATTGTGACTGTAATTCAAATAGTTGGATTAAATGGATTAGAGAACATTCGAATATGGTTGGTGATTATTTAATTAAAATTAATTAAAATAAAATAATTTAATTATTTTTATTAATTATATTAGCTAATATTCTCTTTTTTAATCATTTCTCTGCAAAAAAGTTTCTCTCTCTCAAATTAACTTTTCTCAATTTTAATTTTCCTTTCTAAATAAAAAATTTAATTATTTAATATTTTTTAATTAAAAAAAATAGATTGATGATTACCGAGCACTTATCTGTTCACGTTCTTCTCCTCCAAAATTTACTGGTACAAGATTAAGTGAAGTGTCAATTGAATTATTAGATTGCCAGTCAGATTTATATGCTACAGGAGGAAAATTTAAAAATAATTTTGGATTTTTAAATATTTTTATTTTATTTTTAATTAATTATTTTTGTCAAAAAATATTTCCAAAATTTTAAAAAATTAAATCAAAATTAATTTATTTTCGATAATTATTTTGATTTAAATTTTATTTGTTTAATTATTTTTGAGGGTTTTTTGAATTTTTTCGTCGTCTTATCTTCCCACTTAAATAAATATGTATTTGTGTAAGACGAAGTCTATTAAATGTAAATATTACCTATTATATGTATTAATTAGTGCTGGGTATTTGCAGTTTCAGAACTTTGAATTTATCTTCCAAAGCCACCATACCCAGCACTTTAACCTAAACTTAATTACCCGGTATATTTTTATTTTTTCTTTTATTTAATTTCAAAATTTGCTGTTTTATTTAAAACTTTATTTTCAATTTAAAATTATATATTAAAAATTATTTTTATTTTTTTTTATTTTAAATTCAAGTAATTATTAACGCTACATACAACAGTAACTATTAAGTATATTTAAGTACTTTTAATTAATTCAAAATTTATATATTAATTCTTTTTTAAATTTATTTAAAGGTAATTCTTTTTAAATAAATTTTAATAAAAAAATCAAAAAAAATTTCTTTAGAATTAAAAATTTTCTCAATTTTTGTTGAAAGCTTTTTATAAATAAATAAAAAATGTGAACAGTTATATTAAATATTATAATTGGCTTTTTAAATATTAAAAAAAATAATACAAAAATCTAAAATTACTTTTATAATTTTGTCCTTTTCTTTAGAAATTTATTTAAAAGTAATTTCTATAGAAAATATTTTTGGCAGACAAAAAATTTTGTTCCAAAAGCTCTCCAACTGTTTTTCTTTTTTTTTATATTCCAACAAAATTATTAAAATTCAAATAAATTTTTGAAAAAAATTTTCTTTTTTATTCTAAAATATTTTTGTGTAGATTTTTTCTTCAAAAAATTTTGACTAAAAGAAATTCTTTTTTATTTATTAAATATTCTTTTATTTATTTTTTGGGTTTCAAATTTGTTATTCTTTTATTTTTCTTTCCTTGGCAACAAAAAAGTTGGAGAAATATATTTTTGAAATTATTATTATTTTGTACTTTATTTAGAGAATATTTTTGGATTTATTTAAAGCTGAGTTTTGTCCGTCTAAATTATTGTAAGGCTGGCGATTATAAAGGAAGCTCGTTTGTAATTAAGCATCTTTGGAGGAATGGACAGGAAGGTTAAAACTTTTAGATTTGGGAAGCATTTTATGGCCAAACTAATCCAATCTTATGCCAGTTCAGGGATAAATATGCTTGTTTTTCTAATTGCATAGCGAAACCCTTCAATTTGGCAGAAAATCTCGAAATTTCGAAATTAAAACTCCACGGATAAAACTCAAATAATAATTAATTTCTTTCAATATATTTCAAATTTTCTCACATTTTTTCTTAAAATTATATTAGAAATATTTGTTTTTATTTTCGCTAATTAAATTTTTCTCGCAATTATATAATTTTTAAATAAAAAAATATACTATTTTTTAATAATTAAATACTTATATATCAAAAATGATTTAATTGGCGAAAAATATTTATTATAATATTCTTTTTATTTAAAAATAATTAACTGACGGGTGAATAACTAGAAAACTCCCCCTGCTGTTTTTTGGAGGAGAGAAAATAATTAGAAGTATATGTGCATATTTGACCTTTATTAAAATATATAAAGAGTTTTTAAAATCTCAAATTTTAATTTGAATAAATTTAAAAATAATTATATATTTTACAAAAAAATTTTTTAATTTAAAAATATCACTTTACTTAAAAATTGCCAACCTTTCTTTTTTTACTTTTAAATATTTCCCCCCTCTTCCGCCATCCTCCTCTTCTCCTCAGTTTAACGACCACCTACTACCTACCTATCTATTTTATTTTTTCCTTCCATTTGAGGAAATAGAGGAGGGCATATTTTAAGGTAAAAATAGTAGAAATCGAAGAGCTTTTTACTCGATAAGGAGGTGGATGGACTTTTATTTTGGACAATGCCGCAAAAATAAGGTAAGTAAAATATTTCCAACAAAAATTATTTTTTTATTTTGTACTTACATAATTTGTTTAACAATTTGAAATAAAAATATTGTTATCTAATATTTTTTATTTATTAATTTAAACAATAATATTTACACCAAAATAATATTTTAATTTTTTAAAAATATCTACACTGGGGTATTTACACATTCATAAATATTTTTTAACTTTTTTTAATCAAAAAATTATTTTTAATTCTCCAAACAAACAAATAATTATTTAAATAATTTTAATTAAATCCTTATATGTATATTTTTTATAAAAAATTAAGAAAAAAACTAATTTTTTACTTAAATAAACAAACAAAAAATTACTAGGTCACTAAAATATCTTAATAAATATTTTGGCATTATTTTGGTATTTTTCCGGTCAAACTCCTCTTCTCTCTTCCTTCTCTTCGATTTTCTTCGTTCATCTTCCTTCATAACCCTCCAAAAATTTCGTGCCCGCTCAAAACATCAAACTCTTAAAATATCTAGACGAGTAAAAAAGCTCAAAATATCTAGACGGTTAAAGAATCTCAAAATATCTAGACGGCTATAAAATCTAAAAATATATTTTCTTAAAACGTCAAACTCTTAAAATATATTTACGGGTAAAATATCTCAAAATATCAAAATATATTTTTTCAATTAAAAGGGACAGTTGAGTCCGCAGAAAAAAGTTTTCGCCGCTGCGGAGGAAGCCGGGCATGTCGAGCGGAACGACGGCCGCCGCTTCGCTACGGTCGCCGCGAGCGAAGCGAGCACGACCGCAGCGAAGCACGGCCATCGTGTAGCGAAGACCATGCCCGGCCTACCCTCCGTAGCAGCACAAAAACAGTTTTTCCAGCGAAGATTCTGTTGGTCATAACTTTGTTCAGAAGCGTCCAATCGAGCTGATTTTGGTTTCACTTGATTCAGCTCGTCGAACTCATGCAAAATTGGTCCTGAAGTACTACATCTTAAAATATATTCACCCCTGATACAAGGAAGAAATATGGGACTCAACTGTCCCTTTTAATTAAAAAATATATTTTGATATTTTGAGATATTTTACCCGTAAATATATTTTAAGAGTTTGATGTTTTGAGAGAATATGTTTTGAGATTTTTTACTCGTCTAGATATTTTGAGAGTTTGATGTTTTAAGAATTTATGTTTTGTATGGGAGCCAAAAATTTAATCAAAATTTATATTTATTTTTAATCTTCCCAACTTTTATTTTTAACATTTTTTTGCTTCTCAATTTTTTTTCCCCTTCATTTTAACCTATAAACGGCCAAAAATACGAACAGTGGCTGTGAGGGATGGATGGACAGTGTCCGCCGTTGAATGTTGTGGTGGTGGACAGATTTTTGACCGACAAGGAGGGGGAAGGGGGGGGAAGGGGTTATTTTACAACAAATCTTTGAGGGGAAGAAAAGTAAACACAAAAATAAAAATACAAAACAAACACTCACTTGCCCTACAAAAATATATTTAAAAAGAAAAATATATTTTTAAGTGGCTACTACATAAATATTTGGATATAAAAATTAAATTTAAAATAAAATAATTTTAATTAGAAATTTTTTTTTAATTTTTTGTTTATTCATTCCCTTCCCCCCCCCCTTCCAATCATTTTCTTCTCTTTAAAAGTACTGACTGATGATGTGCTCTTCTCACAGCACAGATTTGCATTTTAGAAAAAAAGAAATTGAGAAGGGGAACGAAAAGCAAAAAATAAGCTAAGAAGTAAAAATGGAAGGGGGGAATTGACTTTTCCTCCATATACCTAAACCCATTTCCACAAATTATTTTCAATTTTATGCATTCTTGAGATGTTTTTTTCTCTTAATTTTTAACTAAAAAATGCATATAGTAAGTCTGTTTAAATTATTTGAATTACAAAAATAAATATTTTTGTTTAAATAATTAGAAGGAGAGAGAGATGAGAGATTCTTCTCCCTTTGAAGACTAATTCTAATTAATCATCTAAATAATTCTAAATTAATTCTAACCAATTAAATACCTAATTTATTTAAATATTAAATATACACACAAAACCAAATATATTTTTCCCATTTTTATTAGAAAATGTGAGAAAAATATTTTTTTATAAATTTTTATAAAGAATTAAAGGTTTGCGTGTTTGGGAAAATTTTTAAATAATTTTGCAATTAAAAAGCCTTAAATTGTTAACGCGCATATTATTATAACCTTTTTTTCTTAAAAAATAGTTATTTTCACACATTTTTTGCCAAAAACCTTTTTTATTTAAATAACAACAACAATTATTATTGTTTCCACCTATTTTGGCATTTTCTCATAAATAAATAAATATTATTATATTATAAATAATTTTTGAAAATATTTTTTTAATAAGGAAAAAAATCAGAAATTAATTAATCTAAATTATTTAATTATGTACATATATTTAATTAATTTAAACTATTTTTTTATTAAAAACAAATTAATTAGTCATTACAAAATTTTACAAAAATATGTTTTTATTCTGTGAATTGGTTTAACCAGGGCCCGTAGAATAAATTCGGGGTAAGGGGTGTTTAACCCCTACCTTGGGGTTAAATAACCCGTAACCCGCAGAATAAATTCCAACCCCTAGCTTCGGGTTAAATGACCGGGTCAGATAACCCGGTTATCTGACCCGCGTAACCTTACCGGTAGAATAAATTAATTACCCGGGTTGAATAACCCGCAGGTAAAGGGCAAATTGCAACCCTACTAGGGGGCAGGAAATTATGCATGCGAATATGCATAATTTCCAAACAAAATTTTTTAACAAAAATTTTTTAACATTAACAAAAATTTTTGAAACAAAGTTAGAAGTCTATTTCTTTTTTGTTTGATAGATTTAACTATGCTCTTTCTAATAAATCCAAATTTTTATCGATAGTATTAATAAAATGACAATCTTTCTCAAATTAAAAAAAGTGTTCATTTTTTATGGTGCAAAAGTTTATGCACACTTTACGAAAATTGGATTTCTAGAAGAATAAATGCTGAAAAAAGGCAAAAATATTTTTTATGAACATTTTCATTGATGTTGAGTAGAAATAGACTTTTAACTTAAAGACTTCCCAAGTTTTTTATCAAGTGTGCATAAACTTTTGCACCGCAGTGTATAAAGGGTCAAATAACCCAGTAACTCAACTAGTTAAATAACCCTTAACTCGGGGTTGAATTTATTCTACCGATTTTAACCCGTAGCTAAGGGTTATTTGCCCACGGGTTGTTTAACCGGGTTATTTAACCGGGTTATCCAACCCCGAATTTATTCTACGAGCCCAGTTGGGAGATAAAAATCATTTTTAAAAAATAATTTAGAAAAATATCTAGTAATGAAAAATAAAAATATAAAATATTTAAAAATATTTTGAAAAAAATATTCTCTTTTTTTTATTTTTCATGATTTTCTTTTTGTCTAAATAATAATTTTTGCATTTAAAATCTGTCAATCATTCACCCAAACATTTCATTTATTTTATAATTTTTCAACAATTGAAAGTTTTTTTTGTTTTTAGAACAAAGCCACAAACTTTTTTGCCAATCATTTCTTTTAAATAATTTGTCAGAAATTATTTTTTTTGTTTTTTTTTAGCTTGAAAATATTTTTTTGAAAAATAAAGAAAAATTCCCGTCTCTAATATCTGCAGGCACTGTTCAATTAAATGGCTAATAATTAATTAATTAATGCCCCCCTCCCCCTTCTCAAAATATTTAAAAATATTTAATCATCCATCCCTTTATAAATAGTATTTTTATTTCAATTTTATTTTTCTTTTTATTTGCAATTGGCTTTGATGTTGCCTTTTTTTGTTTGAAAATATTTATTTATTTATAACCTTTTTACGATCCTTTAAAGGTATTTTGCCGTTGATTACTCATATTTTTTGTATAATATATATTTTCCTCAATGCATTTATGTATGTAGATTTTTTTGGCTATTTCTTTTTTTAAATCAATTTAGTCGATAAATTAATTTAAATTAAAGTCTCCCCCCCCCCCCATTCATTATTTGAATATTTTTTTTATTTAAAAATTAAATTATATGTAGCTCAAATTTCAAAATCAGGATTTTCTTTCAAAATAATTTTTAATCATTCAAGTTTATCTGATCAGTCAATAATTAATGCTAGACAAAAAACGAAGAAAAGTTTTGTTCTTTTTCTCTCTTTATTTGCGCTTCTTCCTCCCCCCCCCCCTTCCTCCAACTTTTATTTTTACGAAATTTTTAAGTAAAAGCTTTATATTAACTAACTAAATATCTAATGTAAATAGCTATATTTATTTGCCATAACACAAAGCTTCTTCTCTCTCTCTCTCCCTTCTCTCTCTACAATTGTTTGTACAGTTTGCTCCCGTATATTTCCTTCATCTCCTTAACGAAGAGGGATTTTGTGAAGAAAAAAGAAGAATTTCTTGTAAATTTACTTTTTCTAATCAATCCACTTGGCCTTGTTTTTACCTTTTCAAAAATTTATTTTATTTTTATTAAATAACAAAAAAAACCTTTTTCATTAATTAATTATTAGAAATGAGTATTATGATAAAATAAATATTTATTTAATAATTAATTTGTATATCAACACAATAATTTAAAATTATTTTTTAAACTTTTTTCAAATTTTTTTACATTTTTTAATTTATTAAAGAGATTTATCATTAATTTTATTCCAAATTTTGATACAAAAAATAAAAATATTTTTATTTGTTTAATTTAGATAAATATTTCAGACAAAATTAAAAACAAAATATTTTGAATTATTTAAAAATTTATTTTTTTATTTTCAACAAAAAATGCCTTCTTATTTTTCATTTATTTTTCAAAAATTATTTTTAATTATTTTTATTTCAATTTCTTTAAATCTTTTTGGAAATTGTGGAAGTTCTTCTTATAATTTTGCTAATAATCAAGTAAATAATTATTTAAAAGTAATTTTAATTAATTCTCGATTAGCGTCAATCAAGTAGTCCTTATGGAGAATTTGGGCAATATTATGGAAATAATGGAAAAAATGGAAATGAATTGGAATTGGCAGAATGGAATGGTGGGGATGGAGGGGGAAGGCGTAGAGTTAATAATTTAAATTGAAATAAAAATAAATAATTATTTTTTTAAAGTCAAATACACGAATTTTATCTGAACAACAACAATATAAAAAGAATTTAAATTATGGTAATTTTAATTATTTAAAGGTTTAAAAATAGCTATAAATATTCTATCAACATTCGAAAAAAAAATGTTGAAGGGGAGGGGGCCTCTCCAAATTTTTAAAAATAATTTAAATTAAGCAAAATTAATTTTGGAGAATTAAATAAATACATATAAAAATAAATTTACCTAAGTCTTTTCTTAAATTAAAATAATTCATTAAAAATTATTTAAAGAAATAGTAACAAGTGCAGCATTTATTTTCGAAGATTATTGCACAGAAAGATGCCAAATTCCGTGTTCTCCTTTATTTGTTTTTCAAGAAAGAGATAAAGACCCAAAACTTCAATTTAATTGTGCTAAACTTAAACCGCCTGAACGGAAATTTCACGAAAAGTTGGTTGGAGCTATTTCTGGTGCTTCCATTTTTGAATTTTTTGTTGCTGGAATTATTGTAAATAAATAATTATTAATTATTTTTTAAAGACAAAAAAATATTGAAATTGATTTTATTAAATATTATTTTTATAACTAAAAACTTCCCCCAAAAACTTTAAATAATTTTTTAATTTTAGGCTTTAGCTATAGCAATTTGTTGTGTTTGTTCTTGTTATCAAGTAATTTCATTTAAATTTATTACCTCTTTATTTTCTTTATTTAGTGTTTATGTAAATCCTCCCCCCAAATTGTTCTTCGAACTAGACAACAACAAATTAATTTAGAAGAAGAAAATGAATTAAATAAAGCTATTCCTCCAAATGGAGTTTTAGTAAATGGAGGGGGTATATCGACAACAACAAGTACAGGTGTTAGTCCGGAACATGACCATTTAATTAATGACAAAATTCCTCATATGTAAATTAAAATAATTTTAAAAGAAAAATTTCTTTTTAAATTTAAGTGATGAAGGAATCCATCCAGCACCTCTTCCTAATTTAACAAATAATCAACAACAACAAAAACACCAACATACAAATTATATTAAACCAGGGCATCATCACTATGTTAAAACAAATTTATTTAAAGGAGAACAACAACAACATTCTATTGTTTAATTAATTAATTCCTCCTTATTTAATGCTTTAAATAACAAAAAAATTTTTAACTGCATTTTATATATTTTTTGAGAATATTTTATTTCTTATAATTAATTTTATTCATTTTAAAGATTTCCGTCTAAAAAACTAAAAGAAATTCTTTGATTTTCGAAGAAAAACATTAATTTAAAACCTCCTTCTTTTTTAATTTTAATTAAATTTAAATCTAAATTTTAAAATATATTTTTAGATTAGAATTAAAAACTTCTCTTAAATATATATTCTAAATTGTTTAATTAATTTTAACAATTCTAATCTAAAGGACTAATCCAATCTCTACATAATAGAAAATTTTTTTAGTTTTATTTGAGGGTTAAATTTATATTTTTTATAAAAAAATATTTCTTTTATCTAACCCCCCATTCCTCAACAATTCTTTTTGTTTTTCTCCTTTCGGGTATTGTATCTGAAATAATTTCCCATTTTTTGTTATACTTTTGCTTAGTGCAATTTTATATTTTAATTTAAAAATAATTTTAATTAAAATATTTCCTCTAAAAAATATCCAACATTTAAATTAACCAGATTCTGCATTTAATTGTTTATATAAAAATATCTTTAATTGTTTAACGCATTTTGTTTTAAATTGTGCCTTTTAATTTTTTGTATTTTTAAATATTTTTGATTTTATGCATAAATTGCCATTTATACATTATTAATTGGAATGTGTGGAAAGTGTTAAATTAAAATTCAAAATTAATTTCTTTCAATTTTATTTTTTTAAATATTTATTGTTGATTACCACAATTTTCTCCAATCAAAATTTTCTTTATCCGTTCAAGAGAAGACTGTGCTGTTTTCATTTGGTCGACAGTCCTTACAAAATTTTATTTAAAATTTTAATTTAATTCACAATAATAACTTAATAGCGTTATCTAAATCAAAACAAGCTCCTTGAATTTGTGAATTTAATTGTGACATTTGTTGTCTTCTTAAATAAATTTAATTAAAAAATATTCATTTAATTCTCTCACCTAACAACTAATTTCGGTGCAACTTTATTTGTATGTTCCTGAATTCTATAAAGAGCCATTGAAGGATCGTGATCCAAAATATATAAAGATTCAGAAAGCCGTTCTGATACTTTTAAAAATTATTTTAATTTAAAATATATTTTACAATATTTAATTTTACATTGTTTGGAACGGCTTTGTAATTCTCTATTAATAGCAGCCATCTTTTTTTTTAATAAAATTATTTTTATTAAAAAATAATTAAAGAAATATATTTAAAATAATAATTTTCTTACATATATTAAAAATTAACAAAAACAAACAAAAAAAAATATTTAAAACAAAACAAAATTAAAACAAAAAAATATTTTTTCTCCCAAAATTTTCATTTTCTTTTTTCTGGTTTAGATGTCAGCTTTACTTGAATTTCTTCTGGATTTGATCCAAGTTTTAAAGTTTCGAGTGCTTGACTTGCTGTTTTGCCTTCTTTAAGTAATTGACTCATTTGGAAAAGTGTTTGTCCATATTCCTCTTCTCTTTAAATTAAAAATAAATTAAAAATGTTTAATTTAAAACTCACGTTAAACTTCCCCTATTTTTAAACATATCCAATTCCTCTTCTAATATACGTCTTTGAAGTGCTTTATCCTCCCAAATATGCCGATTTTCAAAGAATTGAAGTAAATCTTTTTGATAATTAATTTCTTTTTGACGTTTTTTAATTTCATCCAATCTTAAATTAATTTCCATTCGTTCTGTCTAAAAAAAATTTTTTTTCAAAAAAATTTTTTAAAACTTTACCTGACTTTCAATTAATTTAATTCTTTTATTTTCCCATTCCTTAAATAATTTTTTCTGTTCACTCATTAAAGAAAGTTCAAAACTTTTTTGCAATGAAAGTAATTCTTTTTGTAACATTTGCCATAATAAAATTCGAGATTTATTTCCGTTAGTATTGACAATGGATGAATAAATATTTTCTAATTTTGCCTAAAATTAAAAGTAATTATAAAACTAGACAAATCTTTGAATTTATTTATCTAAATTTCCTAGTTTAATTGAAATTCTGCATCCGTTTTTCAGTACTTTTTTTTATTTTTAACAATTTTGGATGGCATATGTAGATGTCTCTGGGTTTTTATCCAAAATAGACAAAATTTAAAAATTTTCCAAAAAATTGAGAGTGCATTTTATTTTATGTTCACTCTCTTTCACTTCGCAGAGAAACGAAAAGAACGACACAAAACAGAAAAACAAAATTTCAGACGATCTGACCGAAACTACCAAAATAACCTAATTAAAAAACAAACAATTAATTCTTCTCCTTTCTGTTGATTTTCCAAAACATTTTCTCCCTTTTCAATTTCATTATTATTTTCACTTTTTCTATTAGCTTCAAATTTATTTTTCAAAAATGGAATTGCAATTTGAAGTGTTTTTAATAAAATAGGTAAATCAATAGGTGAAACTAAAAAAACAAAATAATCTTTTTTATTAAAAAATAAAATTACCCAAATTCTGAATTTCTTCAATTTTATCCAATCCTTGTTGATATTTTCCAGACAATAAAATACCCAAAAAACAAATTGAGGAAGTCATAATATTATTATTATTTTCACCAATTTTTAAATTCCAACTTAATAATTCTAATGACCGACCAATTAATTCATCTGTTTTTTGTAAATCAAAATGTCCATCAAAATGAGGAGTTTTTAACCAAGGAAAACGAAAAATTCTCTAACAAAAAATTTTTTTTAAATAATTTTTTAAAACTAATTCCAAACTGACCACATTTTCCTCATTAAAGTCAATTTCTTCTTCAATAGTAGCTGCTCTTTGAGGAAATACACGTTGTTCAAACTCAGGGAAGCCGTCTGGATTCTTTTTTAAAAATTTTAAATTTTATTTTTAATTTCATTTAAAAAACTTGTTCAATAAATTGAAGTAAAGACTGAACAGAAAGAAAATTAAGAAGAGGTTGAGAAAACATTTCTTGTTGCATTACATAAACAGCCAAACGTGCAGCACTTTGTAAATCATTTATATTTAAAAAATAATTTAAATATAAACAACAACAATGTTCATTTGGAAATAATCCAAAATTAATCTTTAAAAATATTTAAATATTTTTTATAATTTAAAAATAACCGGATCATTCAAAACTTTCATAAAATTTTCAAAATCACCATTTTCTAGTATTAATCTAAATATTGCATACTCAGTTGATGGAAATAAATCTGTAGCGTTGTCTGTATGCCTAAGTTTATAGCAAAGTTCAATTAAATCGTTAATTTGGTCATTATGTTGTGCCATTACACCAGCTATATCTAAATCAACAGCACTATAAAAATAACGGTAAAATTGACTTTTATTTATTTAAGCTAAAAATAATCACCTAGCCTTTCCACCACCACTATACTTTTTTTGAACCAACATTATCCATTCTGAAGCATCATATCCAATTTTTAATTTCTCAATTTGTTTAAATCTTTCATTCCATTCTTTTTTAAGAGAAAAATTTTCATCACAAAATAAAAATGAAGGAGAAGATTCGGCCACAGCCCGCGCCGCGGAAGAGAAATTCGTTAATTGAGGTAAAATAATTAATCCATTTTTATTGAAAAATATTTTGTTTGAAAACCTTTTTGAATTAAAATTAAAAATAATTTTTAAAAATAATTTTACCAATTTTTTCGTTGATTTTGTGTAAAAATATTTCTCTTTGAGGCAAATTGTCTAAAACAATTTGTTTGTGTATAAACAGAAAAATAACCATTGGAAAAACATCTCCTAGCCAACATTCCTTTTAATTAAAATAAAATTATAAAATATAAAACATTTAAAATACTTAATAATTTGTTTTAAAACAACAAAAAAATTTTAAAAATTATTCTATAAACATTTATTTTAATAACAAAAAAATTGAACAAAAATTTTATTTATCCAAAACCCTTTTCTTTTACTTTTCTTTTAATTTCTTCAAATTCTCCAAATTTAAGTTTAAAAATATCATTCGGCCCACAAATATATCCACTCTGTTTAAAACATTTTAGTAATTCATTAAATTCAGGTAAAGTATTATATGCTAAATCTCTATACTGCAAAATTGCCATGAATTGACGTTTAGCATGGCAAATCTAAAAATAAAAATTTTGATTAAAAAATTATTTTTTTAAACCTCAAAATTCCACAAAGACAAATTAAAATCGCTTTTATGGGGTTCTGATGAGTGATGTAAAGGATGTTGAAATGTTTTTGTTTTTATAATAACCTCGGGTTCTTGACCAATAAGTGTGTCAATTGATTTTCCAATCAGTAAACGATTAATAGAAAATGATGGAGGAAAAAGAATAGCTTTAATTTAAAAAAACATTAAAAATATTCTTTAAATAAATAAACATAGAATATGTCCAATTAAAATCCTTTGCCCATCATTAGAAGTTATATAACAAAGCATTTCAGGCTTAAAACCACATTCAATTAATTTTGAAAAATGTGCAGCAGCAATTAAAGCATTACCCCAATTTAAATATGAATATTCAAATTTTTGAGTCTAAAAACTTGAAAATTAGAAATATATATTTTCATAAAATAATAACTTACAATAAACATTTGTTTATTCCATTCTCCACTTAAAATAGAAGTATCAACCAAGACAAAAGGTTCTTTAACTAAATTATTCTTTTCAACTTTTTCTTCATTTAAATAATCTCCGATACAAATATCTCGAACATTTTTATCATTTAAAGGCGCTTCATGTTTATAAAATATTTTATTAGGCCATTCTCGTATTTTGGAATTTGAACGATATTGTGTAGACAAATAATAGTTAACTTCGCTGCCAAATTGTTCACTCAATTGTTGTAAAAGTGAACGATGAAATTTAAGTTGATAAGCTTGAAGGCTATGGATTGGAGATTGTAAACTATGAAAATCACCAAAGAGACGAGCACGACAGGACTAAAAATAAAAAGAATTTAATGTTTAATTAGAATATAAAAACCAAAGTAAGAATGTTATGCCAGCTATCACATTCCTAAAAATTAATTTTTTCAAGAATTAACAGATTTCTATCTATATTCATACATTAATTCGCCCAGCATCGTCAGCCAGAAAAAAATCAAATGAAATTTTATTTTTAACAAAAGCATCCAATAAAGAATTACTAAAAGAATTTAAAAGAATTATTCAAAAACTATTAAAACCTTCCACTTGTGCAAGCAATCCTCCAATCATCACGTTCGCAAAATTCTTTAACATTTGACAATGTTATATCCATTCTAACACTTTTATTAACAAATATTTCACGTAATTCAGCATCATCAATACAAGAATTCAACAATTCTTCATCATAACCATTAAAAATGATAAAATCTGTTCTTTTTGTTAATTTATAGTATTGAAGTAAAAATCTATAAAGATGTGTCAAAGAGATATTGCAAAGAAGTAAAATTCGTTTACCCTAAAATTTTCGGATTAAAAACGCAAAAAAAATATTTTTGTTAACCTGTCTAGCTAAAATGTCAATACATTCTAAAAGTAATCGACTTTTCCCAGTACCTTCTGCACCATGAACAGCCACTAAGGGTTTATTCAAATCTAATACTGCTTCAATGGCAAGTTGTTGAGAATTATCAAAATGCTGAAAATTAATTTAAATATGGAAAATTGAAAAGAATTTTACATTTTCACGAAGCGAATAATTTAAAGGGAAAGGATTTGAATTAGGTATCCTCCTAATACATTTATAAGCGTAAAGCATCGTCTCGTAACCTGGTAAATCTTCCCAATCAGCTCCTCGAGTCATTAAAAATTTTAATCGTCCAATATTTGATTTAGAACCCCATTTTTGAATTAAAAATGATTTTCCCTTAAATAAAGAATTGTTTAAATAATCTTAAATTTTAATTTATTCTTTTTAATTTACTTACTTCAAATGAAGAGAAGTCGATATTTCTATCCTCTTGAATTTGTACCTCAATAAAAGATTTTGTACGTGAAAGTATAACGCCTAACATTTCCTTATCGTCATTTAAATTTGTATCTTCGCTGAGTCTAATAGAAGTTCCAGAAGCTAATATTACATTAAATGAAGTCTTTTCATTTCTAGAAAGCTGGAAATTAAAAATAACTGTACCGAAAAAGGAGAATGTCAAATCCTAAGAAACCCCACACTTAAAAGATTATAAGGTCCCCCAACAGACAAAAATTAAAGACTCACATTTTCAGTCGAAAGTAATAATTTTGTATATTTTTTTGTTATATAAACATTTTTGCATTCTAATGAATAAACAGACAAAATTTGTCTACTCTGAGATGCCAAAATTTCTGCTCGTAACGCACATTCCCATTGAAGACAATCCCTTTGAATAACATGAGGTAATGACCAAGGATCTATCCGTGCAATATTTGCATTGAAAGGTGCAGGAATAACAGACCATTTGTTAAAAAATCGAAATGAACCTAATAAATTATAAAACTTTGAAGACAATGGATAAAATTTTTATCAAGTTATAAAGTCTTTTACCTTTCGAATGTTTTAAATAATTTAGACAAAAAAGCAATAAATCTCCATGTAAAGGAGATGAAGTCGAAGCAAATTTCATTTCTCATAAGGATATACTTTCAAAATGACAAAAGAACGTCAGATTAACTTTAGGATTAAACCTCTAGCAAAAATTATAAACGTTTCTATCGCTATCGTAAACAATATATTATTAACAAACAGCAAAATAACATTTAACTTTTCATTAAAACATTTAACAATTATCAAATTTTTAGGAAAGTCCAATATCTTTAAGCTTCCAATTGCTGTCCTTGTAAATCCTTCAAATGCAACAAATATGCCTTTTTGTTGGCGACACGATGTTTACGCTCACGCAAAGTTAACTTCTTAGCATTCCAACGTTTCTTCTCTGCAGGCTTCTTTGGTTCTTTCTTTGTATGTGAAGGATCAGCACGAATCGCCTCATGAGCTTTCTTATAAATACCCTCAATCTTAAATAAAACTCATTTTATTAAAATGATCAAATATAAAATAACCGAATCTGGTTCTATGCCTTCTTTAAGAAATTTAGAGAATTGGCGTTTATACGCCTCTTCGTCTTGCTCCTTCAAATATCTAAAAAACAAATTAGAGAATTAAAACAAATTTAAATTTACTTCATGTAATCGGCCACGTGCTTCCCAAAAATACGATCACGGTGTGCCTCAGCATTATATTGCTTTGACTCATTGTCGAAACCAAAGAAGCGAGACTCACTAGAAGTTTTGTATATTGGAATTATAAGAAATCAAAACCTGTGAGGAATATGAATCCCACCATCAGCAACACCTTTCATCACAGCAAATATCTTAGCCCCAGTGGTAGTCCTTGCTAAACCAACATCCAAAACACAAGTAAACGGATTTGGATTGCTACCCTCAACATCATAATATTCTCCATCAACCTCTTCCTTTCCCTTATAAACTGAATCGAGTTTCAGTTTTTGCAAATGACGGCGTGCTAACAATAGACCCGTTGCATAAGCAGCAGCATAATTGGTAAGGCCAAGCTATAAAAATATTCATTAAAGACGTATATTAAAAATTTGAGCTCAGAGCAAACTAAGAAAACCTTGATGCCGTAACGTGGAAGCTCATGAGAATAAGCAGCGTTAACGATGATGTCGCCCTGGATCCGAGAATAAGCAATCTAAAAGATTAAAATTTCAACAATTCAGTGCTGGATATAAAGGCAAAAAAACCTGTGCAGTAACTCGCTTGTTTGTAAAACGCACAATAAGTCGATACTTGGGCGTGTTGTACTTATTCTTGTCTTGGACAGTTAGACGTTTGCGTGCATAGTAATCAGTTTTGCCCAGACGTCGTCTCTTGAATTTAACTTGGAAGCGTTTGAAGTAAGCGCGATTTTTGACTACTTTAACGAGAGCCATTTCCTTGTGTTATTCTAAATTTGAGTTTAGACAATTGAATAAAAATGTATTAGAAATAAAAATTTCGTAAAGATACGAAATAAACTTTTAAAAATAATAAAATTTAGTTAATAGACAACATTTTTAATGTCTAAATAACAATAAGCAACAGAATTTAAGTTTAATGACATGTCGACTTGATTTAACATCTGCCTTAACGTAAACGACGCGCCTCACGTTCAGCCTCCTAAACGTTTAAAGATTGAAATATGAAAGGAAATAATATAAATTACCAATAAAGTAAGAATGTCCCCTTCACGAACAGGACCCTTCACATTGCGAATGATTGAACGGTTGGATTCATCCAGAAATTCAACGCGGACTTGCGTGCATTGACCCTGACTTCCGGTACGACCTAAACAGAAACAATAGAATAAACCTTTTAAAATATAAACCAAGAATTCGAGTAACTTTTGCCATCTTTGTAGGTTTTTCCATTAGACTTAATTGAAGGAAACGATAATAAAACCTAAAAATGAACTGTGAAGGTTTAAAATTGAATAAAGTAAATTAGTTATTATAAAACAATAAAAAATCAAAAGACAAAAATATTTATTGATTTTTATTCAGAGCAATAAGATTTTGTCATTTACATATCCAACAAAAAAATAATCGTCTCAAAGAGAATTAAGTGTTCTCTTAATGTCCATACTTCTGGAATTCCCAATCACGATTGTCAAGTGGACAGACCTAAATAACAAGCCAAAGATTAAAGAAAAGTTGTAAAATTCTATACCTGTCGTGTGCGAAGCCAACGCGAAATACAATGAAAATGAAATGCGTGATTGCAAACACCCCAAGCAACAGTACACTCCTCATTCGTTGAAGATGCCTTAAAAAGAAGATAAAAACATTTATTCGTTAATAATTCAAGTTTACTTGATTTGCCTGGCATTCAATGCACAAATCCATAATGTGATTACGGCAAATAGCACAAGTGTCCACTACAATATCCCAAGCCCAGAGAGCAACGGCATTCCACTTTTTAACCTAAGAATAGCTTTTAAGTTTTATTTAAGCCTCAAAAACCTCAAAACGCTTTTTAAGAGCAGTATTTGACGATCCTGAAGATGCCACTTCTTCGACTTCCATTTTTGCATCACCCATGTTTTGTGTCTTTGCCTTAGAGTTTTATTAAAGTCAAATTATCTACAAAAATATATAACATTATATCACACACGATAATTGCCAAATTCGCTTATAAAGACTACCGAAACAATGATAAAAAAGTAGAACAAACTTTCGTCAAAAATTTATCGATGAAAAAGCAAAGAAATACGGACACTTTGCTGCGACTAGTTTGTGCAAGTCTATTTTGTCGCAGAGTAAATTTTTCCGAGAAAATACAAAAAATTTCTTAAAAATTTTTCTTTTCGTTAATGGAGTTTATTTTGTCGCAAAATAAATTGTAACGAATCATAAAATGTTTCGATAAAGAACTTTTTTGTTGTTTGGAGAAATCAATTTTTAAGGCAACAAATGGGAAAACAATAAGCCCGATATATTTTGAAAAGGACTTTATTTGTACAAAATCACAAATTTTTAACTAAGGAAAGCTAAAATTCAATCTAAATAAACACTTAACCTATTTAATCAAAAAAAATCGACAGTTTTAAAAATTTATTTACACACAATAGCAATACAACTTCAAATATACAGGCAACAAAAAATTAAGTGAACATATACAAATAAATATACAGTCAAGAAAAATATCAACAACAGGTTTATCTAATTAGCATCTCGATTCATCTGGTTCTAAACACGTCTTTGTGTAGTCGATGTTGGGAAGCTGTCGATTTGTTGTTCGCCTTCAGCCGGTACCTCTGGTTCCTCAGCAATTTCCCAGTCCATTTTTGCTTTCTTGTCGATTCCCTGTTCAGTGATTATCTGCAAAATGAATTAAGAAACTGATTATTTGACCCATAAATTACCCTCTCAAGCACCCTGGCCATCTCCTTGTAGGCAGGTGCATCCTCGAATTTGAGTTTGATGATGGGACCAATCAGCTCCCTGTAGCCTTGAGGGCAGCCGTTAAGGAAGTCGTCCAGGTTGCTGAGTGCTGCCAGTTTTGCGTTGTAGACTGCGGCCCGATCTAAAAATTTGAAGTTATTAGGATTTCGCGTGCAAATTATTAACGAATATTTTCTCACCTCTCTCCGCTGACCATGGGAGTGATCCCTTTGTCATCTCAACGATCATGTAGAACCAGCTCTCGACGTCATCCCTCCGCGCCAAGTCCTGGTGTTGATGAGCACTCCGCGAGCCATATCGAGTCGTCCCTCTCCATCCAACATCCTGTCTGGCTGCGATGATGTTGTTATTCTGAAAAAAGAAATTATTGAAAAGGAAGATCTGCTGAGGCACACACCGCGTCCTTGTACCTCCGACAGAGGCCGAAGTCAATCAGATAGATGTTGCGTATATCGTCGCTTGTCGTTTGTCCTGTGACAAAATTCCCCGCCTTGATATCCCTTGAAATGAAGCCGCATACTTCATGGAGTTCCCTGATGGCCTAAAAAAATAAAAATACAAATTATTGCATTAAGAATTTTTTAAAGGCAAAATCTTATACCTCAAGAGTGACAAGAGCAACACGCACTGCTGTCCCGAGTGTGAAACTGCCATTGTTCCGGTCCTTCCGCAGTCTGTACAGGTCGCGTCCCTTAAGCTCCATCGCAATGAATGAGCAGCCTCGACTTTGAATGACCCCCTAAAAATTAAAATCAGTTAGATTGACCAAAATTAAAAACACGATATAACTTACATTGTCAAAAATCTTTGGAATGTGGCGGCAGTTCTTATCCTTTGCTGTTTCGAGCACGCGGGCCTCGATGTCGGTTGCTCCTGAACGTCGCTCCAGCTTGACCGCGAGTCGCTTTGTGTCCTGCTTTTTTCCCTTTGAGATGGCGTCTGCCTCATACACTTGTCCATAACCACCATCGCCAATCAGCTCCTCCAGCTTGTAGTTGTACCTCTCCGACTCGAAGATGAAGCCTGCGCGGACATTCAGATCGCCTTCCCTGGGACGGACTGACATTGCAACGAAGTTGTCGACGAGCAGAGCACTGAATGCGAAGAACGAACGGCACTGTTGGTCGTAAAATGGTCGACGAGCAGCAGGCACTGTTGATTGTAGAGAAGGATGATGAGCGCTGTTGTGAAGAGAGTTGAGTGGTAACTATCACCGAAAATTTTATCCTTTTATACATATACTCGGGCGTGAAACCAGGCAACCGGATTGCTTCTCCTAATAACTAATACATATAAAAGACCTGAAAAATCGCTCACGTCTAAGACGCGGCAGTCACCACTTTCACAACAGACTGGCATCTTCAACATTGCGGACAAACGGTTGCTGACATGCGGAAACCAGGCATCCGGATGCGATAATACCCACAATAGTACCCATCCTATATAGTTCTCATCCCTCCATTAAAGAGGATCGCTAACATGGCTGAAGACGCACGTTCCATTCTTTTACGCAATGCCGGTTTTTGGCATCAAGAATGCGCTCAAGAATTTTAATTTTTTGGTATCTTATAGAGTTTAATTCTTGAATATTTGCAAACATAAAATAAGGCTTAAAATGGAATTTAATTTTTTAAAAATTAAAAAGAAAATATCTTTTATTTAATTAAATTAAAAATAAATTAATTTTTTAGTCTGAAAATCCAGCATAACTTTTAAATGAACGTTCTCTATTAATTATATGTGTTGTTAATATAATTAATCGAAAATCACAGTTTTGAGCAAAACAGCGAAGAGAGGCAATTTCAGCAAACTAAAATTAATAAAATGAAAGGGGTTTTCTTCCAAAAATTTATTTTTCAGAATTAATATTTTTAATAATTTTCAAATTGAAAAAAAAATAAAAATTAACTGTAACACCCCCAACAAAACAAACAAGTAAAGCACGCCGAATTCGATTGTCTGGAGCTTTAGCATTTGGATTTGTACAAAATACTGAATCTTCTCCAATAACTTTTTTTAAATAATTTTCATCCCAACCCTTAAAAAATTAAATTAAAAAAATTTTTTTGAAATCCTTTTAAAAACCTTACCATAGTCACAATTCTATCAATTATAGAAGAAATTAAAGGAATATAAGTATTTGAAAATACATAACCTAAACCAAGATTATATGATGTTTTATTGTCAGAAAAATCTTCCAAATTATTTTCTTTTAATTTATTTAATCTCCGTTTTTGTTCCTCATCATTTTGTGGAATTAGTTGTAACCCATTAATTATTGAACTTAAAAAGAATTGAAAAAATTAAACAAAAATATTTTTTTACTTTAAATTTTCAGAAATTTGTCCTTTCATTTCATTTTTTGTCGGAAAATTAATTGCCGCCAATTGCTTGTCAGATTTGTTAATCAAACGTTTGGAGAAAGGATTACGTGCTTTAAATAAAGGGGAAAAAGAAGTGTTGTTTTTGTATAAAAGGCCATTTATTGATAATTGGTAAAAAATAAAAAGTTGATCAAATCCATACCTTTAAAAGAGGGATTTAATTTAAAAAGAAAATTAAAATAATTTGACAGAATTTTTGTCAAAAATTAAAAGAAAACTTTCAAAAATCTCCAAACCTATGCAAAAAAACTTCTTGAAACTGATAAAAATATTTTTCAGGAATTCCATTTGCCCGTAAACACCAAAGGGATGCCAATTGTAAAATATTCCATTGATTATATTTTAAAGTAATCATTTTTAATAAAAAATTGAAAACATCCAAATGCTAAAAAAATAAATTAGAAAAGAATTCTTTCCCTCAAAAAAACCTTAAATTCCCCACGTAAAATTGTATTTTCAATTGAAAGTTGTTCATTTAATCCCTGTGTTTTTTCAATAATATATTCACAAGCACAAATATGCTAAAAAATTATTTTTTAAATTAATTAAAAAATCCAAACAATTTCTAGTTGTTTTTGTTGATCACGTAGAGAATCAAATTCGTTTGAAACAAAAACTTTCATTTCATCAACTTTCTGAATTGCTAAAAAATAAATTTTTAATTTTTCAAAAAAAACCAAACAAACTCGAAACTTTAGCAAAACTTGATTGTAAAGATTTGTATTTTTCTCTCAAAAAAGGAAAAACTTTTGTCATATGTGAATTACGAATTGAAGAAAAAATTAAATCAGAATTATTTAAAGGAAAAAAAGATTTTTGGGGAGGAAATTCTTCTTTTGATGAATTTTGGGAAGAAAAAAGTTTTGAATTGACAGTTTCACCAAAAGAAATTTTCCCACAATTGTAATTAAACATATCATTTAAAATTGATTCGTAAGTGAGGCCAGTAAGAAGAGTTGAAAATAAATCAAGTCTTCGATCAAAAATAAATCTGAAAAATAAATTGAATTGAAAGAGAAATTTTTGAAGAAAAACCCTTACAAATGACTAATAAATTGACGAGAAGAAAATGTTGGTTCCCCCAATTCATTACAAATTCTTTTGAAAAGTTTATCAAAAATTGGAAAAAAATCTCCAAAACCAAAAATTGTCTGAATTTGTCCATAAAGTGTTTGGAGTTGCCAAAAAGTTTTAATTAATTCTTCAAAATAACGATTAAACATTTCTGGAGGATATTGAGGTAATTCGAGAGAAAACAAATCTGATTCTCTTAAAGAAATTTTTTTGTTTTTAGTAAACATAAATAAATAAAATAAGAATCTAAAGAGGTTATTGGTCCCCTTTGATATTATTTAATGAAAATATGGGGGAGAATGTTTTTCGAGATGTCGATCTCATTCTTCGTAAAACCCTCCCATTTTTGTGTGTAATCCAGTCAAAAACACTTGGAGTTGTTTCATAAATTAAAAATTTAATTTTAAAGAAAAAACTCACAAATTAATTAATGTTAAATTAAATTCATAAAAATTAACAACATTTCCGAGTCCATTTTTTTCAAGTTCTTTCAGAAAAAAATTTTTAAGGCTGCCAACATGAATTATAGAATAAGACTTTTCAGGTTCTGACCGAATTAATTCACAAATTTTACGAGAAGTAGCAATTGAAGGCCGAATAAAAAATATTCTTTGTTCAATTTGTTCATCCCAAATATTTGTTTTATCTAAATAAAGTTGTTGAACTTTTTGACAATTTAAACTTCTCAAGATTTTCATTGAACATATTTTGTCTAAAGGGCGAAGAAGATTTGATTCTACAAATAATTCTTTTGAGCCAGGAATGGAAACAAGTAAATGAGTTAATTTTTGTTGATCCAATTTTGTAATAAGTGAAAATTCATCAAATTCGTCCATTGAAATTTACAAAATAAACAATTACAGAAGAAATACATAAATTAAAATTTTTTGTAGGTAAATATGAAAATTTTTTAAAACACTTCAAGCGCTGCAAATTTAGGAGGACGATTGAGTATAATTTTCGAATTTGTTTAACAATCATTTTTTCATTTTTAGTTTTTCTTAATTTATTTTAAAAAATTATGGGACGTAGAAATCCTTTAAAACGTTTGTTCGGCAACCCAAACAATGTTAAATCTGAAATTGTGGGTCAGTTTATTTTCTATTTTTCAATAAATTAATTAATTTTAACAGATTTACCTTATTCACTAAATGGAGATATCCGAGAATTGCTACTCAAAATTGATGTCAATGACAATAATGCACTTGCAATTGCGAATGTTCCATATTATATAGATGGGGTAAAAATAAAGTTAAAAATAAACAATTAAAAATACATTTATTAGAATATCTTGAGAAAAATATTTTCTGACATTCTCGAAGCACCATTAACAAATATACAATTTATTACTTCTACAGCACCAAATAATGATATGAAATCAGTAAATTTATTTTCTATTTTTATTCTTCATTATTCGTTTTAGGGCTATAGATCAGGCCGCATCTTCTTCAATACAATTCAAGATAAACGGCGAGCTTTTGAAACTGCCAAATTAATTAAAAAAGAGGGAAGGACAGTTGAACTTGAAAAGTTTGGAGTGAAATTGCCAGCTTGGCACAATTTAGCTGGAAAGGCATTAAAAAGAGGTCTAATTTAAACTAGAATTTTTTAAAGAATTTTAATTAATTTTAAGAGCACAATCAAATTGGGGAGGACGGTGAAGAATTACCAAAAGCGGTAATAATTTATAAAATTTTTTGATTAACATTTAATTTTTTAAGAAAAAAATCAAAAATGAAAACAATGATGATTGGACGTTAGTAACAAGTAAACGTAAGTTCTATACAAACTAAAATTTAAATCTAAATTTTATATAAATTTAGACAAATTCTCATTTCGAGGGAAAATTAATCAAAATGTTAAAGGCAAGTAAATGAAATAAAAAATATTTTTCATGAAATTTGTTGGTTGTTTTATTTTAAAAGAACATTTCAAATTTATAAAATTATATTGTTTAAAATACATAAAACTTTTACAAGGCAGAGATCTCTTTATATAAGAAATTAAAAGACTTGAAAGGCATTATATTGATAAATTTAGCGATTAAAGGCAGTCTTAAATAAAGATTGTACCATTATATTTTTGCATAATGCACAGATTCTATTTTAATTACCACGTATCAGACAAACTATCATCGTCATCCAAATCCTTCTGATTTTTATTTTCTTTACTAATATTTTCTGTTTTGCTGCTTTCTTTTCCAAGAACATGTTCAGAAAATGCATCAGATCCATAAGGTAAAAATGTAGACTCTTCAAAATTAAAATCATTTCCATAATTAATATTAAATTCTTTATTCCATCCATTATTTTTTGATTTAAAGTCATTTTCATATCTAGAAGAATAAAAATTCTCTCCATTTGCCCATGTCAGAAGAAAGTCAGGAATTAATTGGTTTGCATCAGTAAGGACCTGAAATATAGCCAATTTTTGAAATTTTAAAGAGATTTAAATTTATGAAATAATTATTTCAGTATTCAAATATTTGAAAACCCACTTGTACATAATAATTTGCTCTAGACGTATTCGAAAAATTTGTTGGGTCAAAAAACGAAGTAGTCAATCCTGAATTTCCCGCACGGCCAGTTCTTCCAATTCGATGAATATAAACTTCAAAATCATTTTCATTTTCTGGCAAATCATAATTTATCTAGAAAAATAAAAAAAAGGAATTTAAAGCCGACTTTTTAGAGGGTTTTTCTAAAGTCATTTTTATCAAAACGGTCAAAAAATTAATCTTGTCTTTTGAGAAAACTGCTTAAATAAAAGAGAATGGTAAAGAAAAAGGTCTGCCGAAAAAGAAAACCCGTCTTCTTTACAATTGCAAAAAAATTAAATAACTGACCACATGCTTAACATCAGGAATGTTAATACCACGAGCAAGTACATTAGTCGCAACCAAAATATGGAAAATTCCTCTTTTAAATTTTTCTAACGCCTCAAATCGTTGTTTTTGAGAACGGTCACTAAAAATATTTGAGAAAAAATTAAAATATTATTTTTACCCATTAATGCTCATAACTTTAAATTTTTGATAAACAAGACCAATTGCAATTCTGTCAGAATCTCTTTTCTCTTCAACAAAAACAATAGTTTTAAATTCTGGCACTAAATATTCCTCTAAATATTTAATATTTAAAGAAATTTTTAAATTTAAAATAAAAACCTCCATTTGGTAAAATCTTTCGAACAGAATTCTTTTTAAGCATTTCAATTAATAATTCAAGTTTGTCATGTTTTTTAACCTAAAATTATATTTAAAATCAAAAATTATTTAAAAAAACCTCTATAAACTCCTGTCGAATTAAGTCAACAGCTTTGTTCATTTTACCAATTCGAATAAAATAATAACCAGATTTTAAATGATTTTGTGCAAGCATTTGCACATCATTACTAAATGTTGCACTAAATAATAACATTCGATTATCTGGATACTAAATAATTTAAAAAAATATAAATTTTAAGAATATATTTTCTAAACTTACCAAATTTGGATGACTTTTAACTTCATCAACACTTGCAAAAAATTGACGGTCCTTAAAAAATAAAAACAATTTTTTAAAATTAAAAACAATTTTTATACTTTAATTAATTTGTCTGCTTCATCCAGAACAAAATAACGTAAACTAGCCAATTTGATCTTTAAATATTTCTATTATAAAAAATTGGCAATCCCAAAACTTACATGCCCATCCATTACATGATGTCGAAGGCGTCCACAAGTCACTACAAAAATATCACATCCTTGGTCTTTTAAGTCTAATGTATGCCGCATAGGAATATCGCCTTAAATTTTTAAATAAATTTAAAAAATAATAAAATAACCATATGATTGTGCAACACTAACGTTCGTTCCTAAAAATTTTAAGCAACATTAATTTTAAACATTTTTAATATTTAAAATCTATTGAAAAAATTTATTTTAAAAAATATTCAATTCACAGACTTGCAACAAATGAACGAGTTTCTTCATAAAGTTGCTGAGCTAATTCTCTAGTTGGAGACAATATTATACAATATGGCGAGTCTTTGTTCACCAAAGAATTGGCCCTATTTCCCAAATTATTTCTCTTCAAGTCAACAATTCTTTGAATTTCATTAATAATTGGTAAAATAAACGCAGCCGTTTTTCCACTTCCAGTTTGAGCATGTCCCATAATATCTTCTATTATATTAAAAAAATTAAAACAATATTTAAAATTAATATACGTCTACTACGCATCACTAAAGGAATAACAGCTCTTTGAATCGGAGTTGGAAATTCATATTTTCGCAACTTAAAAATGTTAATCTGACTAAAAAGTATACAAAAGACAAACTTTAATATTTTTTTCAATTTCTTTAGAGAATCCACATTGGTCAAACTTACTGAAAATAAAAGTTTTCAATTGTTTAAAAAGTAAAATACGTTATACGATAATTAAAAAGGTCGCCACGATCCGTTGAGACGATAATTTCATCGTCATGTTCTGCCCCATAGAGCTCATCAAAATATTCACCCTAAAGATTTTAAATTAGCTTTTGGAACTAAAAACCTGCTGGATATGCTCCTTCTCATTAAATAGGTCCAACTCACTTTTCTTTTGAGGAACAAATTTTTGGCGACGCATTCTCGGTAAACGCATTTCCTCAGACCCTTCACGATTAAAACCTAAAAACTCAACAATAATACTCACTTAAAATAATCACCATAGCCACGTTTCACGCGGTCGAAATCTCTCGAACGATCATCAATATAGTCTGAAATTATAATCGAATACTTAATGAACAAACTTTATTAGACTTACCAGAAAATTTAATATAATCTTTTTCATTGCCATTTAATGTTGATCCATTGTATCTTAAAACAACACAGATAAAAACATCTCTAAGTAATTACCTTCCATCACCACCAAATACCCGCCTTGCTGATGTCATTTAATTATCTTATTAAAATATTAGCACAAATTTTCATGATAGAAAAATAAATAAATCACAGATCGTCATCAACAAATTAAACAAGAATTAAAAAAATATTTTTGATTAAATTTATAAAAAAATAGCAACATATTCCCGATGAAATCACTCTTCTCGTTTCTCTCTAAAAGCATCCTAAAAAGTTTGAGAAACTTACAAAAAATATTTTTAGAAATTACCCTAAATCGCTCCTCTAAAAGTGACATCTCTGCAATAGAATCGGTTATTGCTGAATCAAGTGCTTCAGCCGGTGTTGTAGTTGCATCAGTTTGCACTCGCAAAAGAACTTTATGTACTAATGGATGAGGATTTCGATAACCAGCAAAAAGCACACGAGGATCTTTTAACAACTGACTGGAAAATGAGAAAATTAAAAAATATTTTTAAACGAAATAAACTCACTGTTTAATCATATTACCCAAAGTATGGTCTTCTTTATTTAAAGTAAACACTGCCGCATTTGGAACTTTTGTATCTTTTTCAATTTCAATCTTTTTTTCTCCCTCATCAAGAAGAAAAGATTCATAACGTGGAGGAGCATTCATTTTGACAAATTACTTAAATTATATAAAGGGAAATTGTAAAAAATATAATATCAAGTATAAAACTGAATTAAGTATAAAATTTAATAGAAAAAACAAAAATAATCCAAACTTTTATAAAAATAATTCATTTATAGACAAAAAGAGGTATAGAATGTAAATTCGAGTCAAAACAATTCATATGTGAGCAATTATGCAATTGGTGGATCAATATTTAAATCACAAGAGAAGAAAGGCACAAAGTTAGTAGAGCAACCCATGCAGAAAATAAAGAGAAATTTTAAATATATTCAATTAAGCAATTCTGTTCCATCTTAAGGAAGATTGAGAGGATGGACTTCTGGAAACTTAGCAGTGCTGACAATCTGATCAATTATAGGCAAAATCTCATTCTTGAATAAGCAAAGTTGCGTTGAATTCATTTGGCCAGTGTAGAAAGAAGTTTTTAGTTGAATCTTAAAATGAAGACAAATTTAAAAAATGATTTAAAAATTAATATTCAATTAAAATCAAAATAATTTAAAAAAAATTATACATGAAAAAGTGCATTTCTACAAGCTGTACAACGCTCAAATCGTTTTTCAGCCTCCACATCAACTCCAATAGTAAATTCCTGTGATGCAAGACCGTGAACAATTGCATTGCCAAATCGTGAAGTGACCATATTGAGAAAGTTAAGTCCTAATTGGACGCATTCTTTATTCTTGTGAACGAGAAGAGAATCTACACGCGACAAAAAGATCTCGTTTAATGTCATGCTGAAGCGTTTCCGTTCCATATATTGATCAAGTAGAAAAGCAAACGCGAGTGGATCATCTACACGAAAAGTTTCTTTCACAAGAAACTCCACTAAAATATTTTGTTCTAAAAGGACATGAAAATAATAAAAATACGGGTATTTCCATCTACACCATTTGATCGAGAGAGAGAGGCCTTTATGTCATTTGTTCGCTTCATAACCTTAGCACGAATCTTTGGATCTTGCTAAAAATTTATATTGTTAAAAAATATTTATCGTTCAGAAAACATCATTTACCTGCAAGAATTCATCAAGTTCGTCATCCGAATCAGATTCCGATTTTTGACGATTGTTTCCAATAACTGTCATAAATAGAATTAGAATAATTTGATAAATTACTTGCTGAAGAGGTAGAGAATTTTGAAGCGCGGCCCTTCTGAGCTTGACTTTTTGAGCGATTCTTCAATGTAGTTGATGAACTAGTAGGCATATTGTTATAGTTATTGCTATTGATAGGATCAGAAACGTCGTTTAAAGAACTTCCTCGACGGAATAATTGTTTTTGAGTAAAATCACTGAATAAATAAATTTTAATTCAATTGAACTTATTAATCAAAAAAGTAAATAATTAGGACAACTAGAATAAATACAAATCGAGACAAAATGGTATTCCTATTTTCAAAGGAATAAATAAAAATTTAGTCAAAAAATTTAAATATGTAATGCTTTAAATGTTTAAAAATAATGCCAAACGAACGCAAATTTTAAGGAACACACCCAAAAGGCGCGGGCAAAAAAAGGCGCGACCGAATAGGCGCGCGGCCTATTAGGCGCCAAGCTTTTTAATTAAATATTGAACAAACCCAATTTGATATTTGAACTTGTGGAGAAAATTAGAGGAAATTTAGTACAAGTATTATACTTGTGCATTTGATTCAATAATAAAAATGCGAATTTCTGACATTAAGTTTTAATACAAATTTTTATTTTCAACTCAATATTTTACCTAGGTTTTTCTCCATTGTGACAACTAAATGAATTTGAATGGTGTTGTTGATTATGGTTAAGAACCGGTAATCTATTTGGTCGTTTTCCACTAACATTGTTAACTCTAAATTCCGTTCTCCTGTCTTCTTTTGGCTGTTGATTTACTTTAGGGATGATTTTAGAAGTAATTTTTCTTGTATTAAGGGTTGTTGGACTACGTAAATCAAAACTAGAGGAGCGAGTACTAGCGCTGGAACTGTGACAAACACCTCCTCCACTTTCAAAGGAGGTAGAAATATTACCACTTAAACCTTCAAGGGCAGTTGGTCTTTTTTGGTGACACTAAAATAAGGATAACAATAACTTATTTACAAAAAACTATGCAATTACTCACCGCCCTAGACGGTGACGCTTCTACACTTTTAATACTATTTTCAACTATTTGCTTTTTCTCAGTTAATTCTGGAATATCAGTCGTTTCATCTGTTAATTGTGTAACATCAATCTTTTTTTGAAATTCAAGTTCATTTCCTTCATTATAAATATTGTTTAGTTCGAAAGTTGTTGAAGGGCAAGGAGGGGGAATGCTATTACTGGGTAAATATTCAACACAATCCAAAATTGGAGATTCAACAGTTAAGTAATTTTCGAATTTCTGTCAAAATTAAAAAAAAAATAAACATTAAAATTTTTTGTTTTATTGTCCAAGTTTTTTCATATTAAAAAAGTAACCAAATCTGAAGGGTCATTCCTAGTTGCTAGGTAACAATTATTTTAAAATGGGTAAAATAACTGTCAAAAACCATTTAAAGGGTTATTGAAAAAACAAGTCTCTGAATTATTAAATCGAGTAAGTATAGGAAAACATTTCAGTAATTTTAAAAATTTTCAAATAAAGTACTTTTGCATAGCTAAAATAAAAAGCATATTAAAAGAAATTGTATGTATTTGTAATTATGAAAAAATATTTTGCCTAAGAATAAGACACACCAAGAATATAATTATCAATATTTCCTAATATACATATGCCCTAAAAAGCTCTTTTACCCTAACTTCAAGACGATTTTGTTAAATTATAGTAATTAAAAATAACAACTATTGTACTTATAAGTTTAAAAAAAAAACTTACATCTAAACTAATTGTTGAAAGACAAACAGTACCAATCTTGTCAGAATCTTCATTTACAATACTTAGCCCAAACATTAAATTATTTTGGACTTTTATGTCTTTAAATAATTTTTATTAAAAAATATTTTAAATAAAAATTTACCTAAATGTGTAAGTGGTGTAAATTCATTCAAATCATTAGGAAATTGTAAAGAAGTATTAATAGGGAAATGACCACCAAATGGAAATGAAACTTGAGATAACAATTCAAATGGTTCCCATCTAATAGAGCAACTAAATTAATTAAAACAACAATTTTTTATATTTAAAAATAATTCCCTCACATTTTTGTTCCAATATTAACTATTAAATATTTCCCATCAGGTGGAAAACAGATTTGCCCCACAATTCGCTCAAATGAGGGTGATTGAGTAACGCATTCTCCTGAATATTTTTAATTATTAAAGGGAAGATAAAAGGTCTAGACGTGGCTTAAAATCTATAAATTTTAGATTGCCTGTCCAGTGGCTAAAGTTATAATTTATAATCAAAATTTTTATTTAAAAGAGTTACCTGTATCTATGTCCCAAAAACTAAAAATAAAATCTTTTCTATAATATTTAAATATAAAAAACAAACCGAACTGTTTGATCTTCATGTGATGTTGCCAACAAGCATTCGGCAGGATTAAATCGAATGTTGGTTGCCTTAAATTTTTAAACGAATATAAAGTTTTTAAGAACCCTTGAAAATAAATTTAAAATAAGTAAAAGTTACTGGTGAATTGCAGGGCATATATTGAACAGATTGTGTCATATTCAAATCAAATACTGAAATAAATTGTCCCCCGCATGCTATATAATTACAATCTGGAGAATATTCCAAACAACTGAAAATAATTATACAAAAAATAGAAGCAAAATTATTGTATTTAAGGAAAGATTTAAAAAAATTTTACGTGAAGGGCCGTGCTGTTCGCCGCATTTGTAATTGAGCAGGGTGTAAACGCAAATCCCAAAGGCGTAAAGTCGAATCCATGCCAACACTCGCAAGCAGCCAAGGGCTTGTACGATGCCAAGCAATACTTAAAATGGGACCATCGTGTTCATGGAATTCGCGCAAAATGGCACCTATATTTGGTTTGAAATATTCAATCAAATTTCAAAAAACCTTTATGTAAATCAAAAATACAAAAATTTGATCCAGCTATTATTGATAAATATTTTCCATTACAATTTTGATCGATAGAACTTGCTGAACCAGTAAAATTGAGTAGCTAAAAAACATTAATTTACATAAAATATTATAAAAATACTTTATTTCCCGAATTATCATCAAAAGATATGTATCGCAAAGGATTTCCAATAACAGCACTTTTTGGTGTGGATGCAACTCCATTAAAGTCAAGTAGAAAACCAACTTCGTTTGTACAGAATCCAGACAATCTCCGCTCTTAAATTTAAAAAAAACATGTTGGATGCAGGGTGCCCCTCTTACCCTCCTTAAAAAGTAGGGGTTGTACCCCGTCACGAAATCGGGGTTAAACTCAACGCAAGTAATAAAAAACACATCAATAGTACCTGTAATATTCATCTGTTTGGGGAAAAATTTGCCCACACCATTTTCTGTCATTGGAATAAAAAATCCCACAAACTTTGTACATAAAGTTATTTAAAAAAATGTAGAGAAGCTTAAGTTCCCCTAAAACAAAATTTTAATTGATGAAAAACAAAATCTACAAATAAATTAAACGAAAAATAACTTTATTTTAAAAATGTAATACATGAAAAAACATTTATCAATTCAATTAAAAACAATTTTCATTTATTGAAAAACAGAAACATCTAGCATCGCTGCAGAGCCTTGAACCAAATTGTCAGCTAACATTTTGTCAACAGTGTCACCCAAATGTCGTTTAGGGTCTTGTTTACCAACATTTTTTATCGCAATTTGTTCCTCAGTCATCTTAGCTTCTTCTTCGATTGACTATAGACTAATTCTTCAACAAGAAAGCGCTCTAAAAACAGTGTATCAGAAATCGATTCTTCTGATAGACTGGCTGAAATTCAGACAAAATTGACAACAGCTGGTATTTCTATTTCCCCATCGAATTCTAATCCTGATTTAATTTCGACAATTAATCTATTAGTAACTCTTGTGATACAACAGACAAAGCAAATTTCGACCCTACAAGAATCACTTATTAAAATTGAGCAACATCTAAGCACCAAAAATTCCGATTCACCGCCCGAGGATAAGGAAAAAAGCCGCTCGATTGTGGTTGTAGGCGTTCCTGAGTCTGAGGGTCGGAATGATAGGGAAAAATTTGTTAATGATAAAAAAACCATAAACAACATTATTGATTCGTTGGGAATTCCTGCTGACCCTGTAACAATTTATCGAATGGGAAAACAACGGACTGACAACAAGGGCCGACCACTTAAAGTTATTATGCCGTCCTCTTTCCATCAACGACTAGTTCTCGCTCGTGCAAAATCTCTTCGGTCATCACCTTCCCTTTCTAATATTTTTATTCGCCCATCACAAACTAGAGAGGAACGACAAAAAGAATTTGAACTGAGAAAAGAATGCCGTGAGAGAAATAATGCTCTTAAAGAAGGTGAACCACCTTGGAAAATCTATAAAGGGAAAATAGTTAGGGCTTTTAACCACGATTCTTTTTAAAATTATCACATGGACCACTAGCAAAATGTTTATATTTCAATGCAAGATCTATTAAAAATAAACTTACAGATTTACATTTCATATTAGCCTCATTTAAATATCAAATAATTTTAATAACAGAAACGTGGTTAACCTCAGAATTTTCCGACACTTTATTAATTAACGACTTACCATATAAAATTTTTAGAACTGATAGACCAAAAAGGGGTGGAGGTGTGGCCATAATTCTATCTAATATTTTTTCAGTCAGTAACATAAAGTTACAAAAAAATCGATTTAATTTTGACATTTTATGTATTGATCTTACAGACTGTTTAGGAGAAAAAATCCGGCTGATTAACATTTACGTACCCCCCAAAACTTCAGATAAACAATTTACAGATTTAATATATATTCTTGGAAATCTAATATCTGTTCCCTATTCTGTTGTTATATCTGGGGATTTTAATCTCCCAAATATTAACTGGTCTGAAAATCAATCGGAAAATAACCATACTTTTAAAGAATTCCTTACACATTCTAATCTAGTTCAACATATTGATTTCCCAACTAGATCTTCTAACATTCTTGACTTATTAATAACTGACAATTTAAATCACATTTCTAACTTATCCTCACTTCCTCCCTTTTCAACCTCTGATCATAATCAATTCTCATTCGATATAAATTTAAAGAATGAAAAGATAAATAAAAATAAAATATTAAATTTTTCTCTAGGTGACTATAATTCCTTAAACCTACATATATCTCAAATAAACTGGAATTTTCTTTTTGTATATGCAGTTCCTTATAATATAAATACAATCTATGAAATCTTTACTAATACTATAAACGATTTAATCAATAAATTTATTCCTGTTACTAATATTTCATTCTTAAAACTCCCTCCGCATTTAACAAAAATAAACGAGTATCGATCTCTTCTCTGGAAAGATATTCATGATCCCAAAATAAAATTTAAATTCAATTATGTTAACAAAAGATTTGAAAAAGAACTTAAAAAATTCTATAAATATAGGGAAAACAAATTAATAAGTGATAAGAATCCAAAAAAAGTTTTTAACTATATCTCATCACAACTTAAGGTAAAAAATCTTAGTATTCCCGCAATAAAGGATAACTCCAGAAACATTTTAGTAAATACTGATAATGAAAAAGCTAATCTTTTTGGAAATTATTTTCACACCATATTTAACAAAGACATACCCACGAGTTCAAATTCAGACTATGAAAATTCATCTATTACTAAATTAAGTTATGTAGATATTTCGGAAATTGATGTTTATGAAACCCTAATAAAACTTCAATCTAAACAAAACACATCACCCGATGGTATAAACAATTATTTTCTTAAAAAATGTGCAGGAACTTTAACCCATCCGATTACTCAAATTTTCAGATATTCTATGATGACTGGAACATTACCTTCTGTTTGGACCCATAGTACTATTGTTCCTTTGCTTAAGAGTGGGGATAGCTCAAATTTAGCAAATTATAGACCAATATCTTTGACTTGTTCTCTAGTAAAAGTACTCGAAAAAGTTATAAAAGACCATTTATTAATTGCTTTACAAAATATAATACCTTCTTCCCAACACGGTTTTATGAAAAATAAATCAGTAGTTTCTCAATTAATAGAAGCTCATAATGATTGGACCAATGCTCTAAATGAAAATCTTTGCGTAGATATAATTTATTTCGATTTCATTAAGGCATTTGATTCGGTATCTCACAAAAAATTATTAGAAAAACTATCAAAAAATGGAATAGGTAATCCCTTATTATTATGGCTAAAAAATTTTTTGGAATTCCGCACTTACTCTGTAAAAATAAATAATAAATTTTCAGACATATCATATGCAAAATCCGGTGTGCCTCAGGGCTCCGTATTAGGCCCCATCCTTTTCATATTCTATATTCATGATATTGTTAAAAATTGTTTTACACAAGATGTTAGTTTTAAATTTTTTGCGGATGATTTCAAAGCATATATAATCCATTCAAATACAAATAAAAGATTACTCCTACAAGAATGTATTTCTAAAATAAAAAATTGGGCTGATATAAATGAGTTAAATATATCAATAGAAAAATGTAGAGTTCTATATCTAGGAAAAAGAAACTCTAAATTTCCTTATCATCTCTCCAATCAATTAATCGAATCTGTAAATAGTTTTCATAGAGATTTAGGTATCTTAACATCACCTAGTCTAAAATGGTCTTCTCATATTGACTTTATTAGAAAAAGGGCCTATATTAGGCTTTTCTCTCTATTCAAATCTATCAAAACTAATAATCCTTCATTTCTTACAAAAGCTTATACTATATATGTTCGACCTTTATTAGAAAATTTCTCACAAATTTTCAAGCCTTATCTTAAATCAGAATTAATTAAACTTGAAAATGTTCAGAAAATGGCAGTAAAAATAATTTATTATAGAACTCTTCAAAAATTATATCCTAACAAACCTTGTTATGATGATCTGCTTATTATCTTAAACTTAAAATCTATTGAAATCAGACTCTTAATCAATGATATTATATGCTATCACAAAATTATACACGGTTATATTAAACTAGATCAGCCGCATTATCCAAAAATAAACTCCACAAATCGGAAAAATAAATTTCAGATTCAAATAAATAGTTCAGTTTTAAATGTAAGACATCATTTCTTTTTAGATAGAATGGCCAGACTTTACCCTAAACTACCTCATGATATTTTACTTATCCAAAAAATTCAGACATTTAGAAATGCTTTAAACAAAATTGATCTTTCCAAAATTATTTAAAATAAGCAAAAGACATTTGTAATTCACAAGTCATAAAATTTGTTTAATGCCAGTGATATAAAAAATATTATTCTAACTATAATTATAAATTATACTATAGAATAAACTTTATTATATCCATAGTCACTAAGCATATTTTATACCTATATTTGTTGTCGTATTTTTTATTTTATTTTTTTTGTGTGTTTTTTGTTTAAGGATATACTTATTAGACTTTAAATTTGACAAATTTTTTGTAGTGTTCTTGTTTGTTTTAATTTTGTATTTGACCATATATATGTTTCATTTTTTTTATATTGTGGACGCGTATTTAAAATACGTAAATAAATAAATAAATAAATAAATAAGACGATTTTGTTAAATTATAGTAATTAAAAATAACAACTATTGTACTTATAAGTTTAAAAAAAAAACTTACATCTAAACTAATTGTTGAAAGACAAACAGTACCAATCTTGTCAGAATCTTCATTTACAATACTTAGCCCAAACATTAAATTATTTTGGACTTTTATGTCTTTAAATAATTTTTATTAAAAAATATTTTAAATAAAAATTTACCTAAATGTGTAAGTGGTGTAAATTCATTCAAATCATTAGGAAATTGTAAAGAAGTATTAATAGGGAAATGACCACCAAATGGAAATGAAACTTGAGATAACAATTCAAATGGTTCCCATCTAATAGAGCAACTAAATTAATTAAAACAACAATTTTTTATATTTAAAAATAATTCCCTCACATTTTTGTTCCAATATTAACTATTAAATATTTCCCATCAGGTGGAAAACAGATTTGCCCCACAATTCGCTCAAATGAGGGTGATTGAGTAACGCATTCTCCTGAATATTTTTAATTATTAAAGGGAAGATAAAAGGTCTAGACGTGGCTTAAAATCTATAAATTTTAGATTGCCTGTCCAGTGGCTAAAGTTATAATTTATAATCAAAATTTTTATTTAAAAGAGTTACCTGTATCTATGTCCCAAAAACTAAAAATAAAATCTTTTCTATAATATTTAAATATAAAAAACAAACCGAACTGTTTGATCTTCATGTGATGTTGCCAACAAGCATTCGGCAGGATTAAATCGAATGTTGGTTGCCTTAAATTTTTAAACGAATATAAAGTTTTTAAGAACCCTTGAAAATAAATTTAAAATAAGTAAAAGTTACTGGTGAATTGCAGGGCATATATTGAACAGATTGTGTCATATTCAAATCAAATACTGAAATAAATTGTCCCCCGCATGCTATATAATTACAATCTGGAGAATATTCCAAACAACTGAAAATAATTATACAAAAAATAGAAGCAAAATTATTGTATTTAAGGAAAGATTTAAAAAAATTTTACGTGAAGGGCCGTGCTGTTCGCCGCATTTGTAATTGAGCAGGGTGTAAACGCAAATCCCAAAGGCGTAAAGTCGAATCCATGCCAACACTCGCAAGCAGCCAAGGGCTTGTACGATGCCAAGCAATACTTAAAATGGGACCATCGTGTTCATGGAATTCGCGCAAAATGGCACCTATATTTGGTTTGAAATATTCAATCAAATTTCAAAAAACCTTTATGTAAATCAAAAATACAAAAATTTGATCCAGCTATTATTGATAAATATTTTCCATTACAATTTTGATCGATAGAACTTGCTGAACCAGTAAAATTGAGTAGCTAAAAAACATTAATTTACATAAAATATTATAAAAATACTTTATTTCCCGAATTATCATCAAAAGATATGTATCGCAAAGGATTTCCAATAACAGCACTTTTTGGTGTGGATGCAACTCCATTAAAGTCAAGTAGAAAACCAACTTCGTTTGTACAGAATCCAGACAATCTCCGCTCTTAAATTTAAAAAAAACATGTTGGATGCAGGGTGCCCCTCTTACCCTCCTTAAAAAGTAGGGGTTGTACCCCGTCACGAAATCGGGGTTAAACTCAACGCAAGTAATAAAAAACACATCAATAGTACCTGTAATATTCATCTGTTTGGGGAAAAATTTGCCCACACCATTTTCTGTCATTGGAATAAAAAATCCCACAAACTTTGTACATAAAGTTATTTAAAAAAATGTAGAGAAGCTTAAGTTCCCCTAAAACAAAATTTTAATTGATGAAAAACAAAATCTACAAATAAATTAAACGAAAAATAACTTTATTTTAAAAATGTAATACATGAAAAAACATTTATCAATTCAATTAAAAACAATTTTCATTTATTGAAAAACAGAAACATCTAGCATCGCTGCAGAGCCTTGAACCAAATTGTCAGCTAACATTTTGTCAACAGTGTCACCCAAATGTCGTTTAGGGTCTTGTTTACCAACATTTTTTATCGCAATTTGTTCCTCAGTCATCTTAGCTTCTTCTTCGATTGACTATAGAATTAAATTAATTTTTAAAACAAAAATTAAAATTTACTTTTTTATATAATTTTGCCAATTTTAAAAGTTGTTCAACGGATGTTTGATTTGTAGAACAATGAACAGTATATTTCTCCAACATCATTGAATCCATCCAACTTCGTTTATTTAAATTCAATAACATCTAAAATTTAATTTTGATAGTTAAAATAAATCTTTCTTTACCTGTTGTTCATTCTCTGTTGTCCGATAAGCAATTGGTATAGAATAATAATGACGGTTTAGTCCATGAATAAGTGCCTGAATTGAAGGTTTTTGCAAATGTCCAATATTGCAAGTTGTTTGTCTAGGTTCTTGTTGTAAAGCGACAGTTTGTGGAGAAATTGTACGAAATGCGTCAATTACAACCTTAATAATATTGTTTAAATTGATTTAATAATTGGCAATAATTGCAGTTAAATTTAATTTACTTTAATTGAAATTAGTTGGAAAATAATTTTATCAAAATTTCTAACCTTTCCCTTAACGGACTGTATCGGATCAACCACAACAGCAACCGCACGATTAGACAATTGCTCGAAACTCTGTTGTGTGTTAATGTCAACACCAGAAAGCCAACAACCAAAACCTGGGTGAGAATGATACCAACCAACAACCATTTCTGGACGGCCAGTTTGTTTTAACATATCAATCATTTTTGCTTGGAAAACGGGATCTACAGCCTCGACAGAAACACCCTAAAAATTTGAAATTATTAGAAAGAACAAATTAGTGGTGACACAAAAATTTTAAGAATAAAAGATAACATACAGTTCCAGATTGTGGCATGGCAAAAACATCAATAACGTTAACAGTATAATCGTCAACAAAATCTCCGAGCATTAAACCCATAACCTAAAAATATAATCTTTCTTTTTATAAATTAAAAAGTACCTCCATTGGCACTCCAGCCCGTCCATGTTTCAACATCTTAAGCAACGCTAAAGAGCTTATGTATACAGTCTCAGATGTATCCACTTGATTTGAATCATGTGGAGTTGCAGAAAGGCCTGCACCCATAGCACCGCCAAGACCCAAGCCTGCAATCCGTTGACGATCCATTTAGTAAAGAAATATACGCTATATTTTAGTTTACAGCCAAAAAAATATAATGTTCTAGGGAAAAATAACAAAAAAATGAAAAAATTGTTTAAAAGAATTTTAAAATTGATGACAATAAATATCTCAATTTGTCGTTTCCAATTGGTTCGATCAACTGGTGGCACTCAACTGACCCGCTCCAAATCGGGGACGGAAAATTTTCGAGTCTCTAATTCGGGGACGGAGTACCGGAAAAGGACGATTCAGTATTGCCGATTCAGTATATGGCCATAACTTCTTATTCGTCTGATTCTGATAATTCTAATATAATTCGGAAGTGATTTAATATGCCGTTTTTTTGGTCATAACTCTTTGTTCTATTAATATTACAGAAATTTTTAACATGATTCGAAATGTTTCGTATCTGATCATCATACAAAAAGTTGCAGACGGAAAACTGATTTTTGTTAGGATGCTCACAGCTGGGAAAAGGTGCAGTCTCACTAGATCTTTCGAATCATGTTTAAAATTTTCTGTAATACAGTATTAATGGAACAGAAACTCATGGCCAAAAATTTTTTTGTTTTATTTAAAATTTTATTTTTGTTTTTCAAAAATTTAGTTTCATGCTTTATTGATTTCGATTTAAATATTACTATATTTGAAGAATATATTTTTAGTCAATTCTGTTAATAAGTTTTGAATAAAATGGATGAAAGTAATTCTATAATTTCTGATGACTCATCTTTCAATCAGACAGGTAAATTTTTTCTTTAAAAAATTGAGTATTAATTATAAATTTAATAATTATTAATTTATTGAATTTGATTAATTTATAAATCTTTTTGGGGATTTGGATTTTATTGTCCCTTTTTTCCTCAGGTTACATAATGTTGATTTTTTCTATTAATAGTAAGTAATTTCGAATCTCAACATCTAAATTAAAATGTTTGACTACATTCATGTAGTCCGTAAGTCTTGGATACCACTGAAAACAAACCTGTAAAAATTGGTGATCGAACTATATATCAGGGTATTACTAAATTAAACACTTTTAAAATAGTAAAATTCTGGAAAAAATTTTAACAATTATGCAACGTGAGCAAAAAAATAAAAAAATTATAAGGAAAAAAAGAAATTTAAATAAAATTTAGGAGTCAATCTTGACCAGAAGAATAATGATGATTCTGAAGCAAAATCTGACACGAATTTGACGAATATTCCTAAGACTGAAGAAAAAGGAAGTGATGATTCTGACATAAAAAATGAATTTACTGATTTGGAAACTAATAAACAAAATGAAGCAGAAATTAATATTGATTTAAATACTGACAATAATTCTGAGTATTTTGATGATTCTAAAGAGGAACTCACAAAAACTGAATCATCCGAACATAATTCTGCTCCTTATGAAAATAGAAATTCAAGAGAAAAAGAAAGTGATAATGTACAAAATTTAGATGAAGATATGCAATCAACAGTTTTAACAAAATCTTCTAAAGGTTTATTAAATTTTGTTATTTATAATTAATTTATTTTATAATTAATTATTCCTTAATTACAAAAAAAATTTTCGTTTAATGTGTTTCTATTTTTGTAGAAGATACTGCTGTTTCGCATAATGTTTCGAATTCAATAGTTGATGGAATACCTGAATCAGCTATAGAATTAAATAAAACAAATGATAGTATAGAATCTCATGAAAAAATGAACATTGAGGAAGGCGATATCAAATTAGATGATGAAAATATTGACAATCAAAATGAAGAAGAAATGGATGTTATTGAACATTTGGATTCTTCTTTACTTTATCAAAATCCAACTTTTGCCGAAATTTGTTCTTTTTTCAATACATTTACTCATTTGCTTGGTTTAAAGCCTATATCCATAGCTAAATTGGATAAGTTTTTCTGTACACTCATTAATGGAGATGGTATTTTTAAAGATTATTTTTACCCTTTATTATTTTTTAGTTGATCCTGAACTTGTCGATTTACATGTTACATTAATGCGTAAAATTTATTTAAAATCTGCGAGAGCTGATAAATGGGACAAAGCTTTACAAAAATTTAGTGCAATATGTCCTGGCTTGGACAATGAGTCTCGTCAGCTTCAGCGCCATCATTATGTGGATATTTCGATTGATACAAAATTATCTCTTCTTAAAGCACTATGTGACAGTCAATTTGAATGTAATGCAAAATTTAAGGAAAATGTAAGAATTTTTATTAGTTATTCACTATTTTGAGGCCGTTACACATACTACCCTCAACACTAGGACAAAAATCATAAACCATACAAAAATATGCCTTCTTATTTTTTTCTCAATACCGATGTTCATCCACTTATTTTTATCTTTTTGAGTTGTATATATTTTTTGTTTTTTAGATTTCAAATACATTTCGAAACTGTGAGCTTCGAATTGCTCCTTTTGGTCGTGACAAAGTTGGTCTTATCTACTATTTGCAAATCGACTGTGATCTAGATTTACGTGTTTATACAGAAGAGCCAGAGGATGAAGCAGGCACTAGTTGGGCACTGCGTGCTAAAAATGAAACGGAATTGATCGAATTAATCAACTCGTTAAAACGTCCAGATTTTGGAAAGAAAAATTCAGAGGATCAGCCAGACGATGATGCAGAAGAAATGGATGAGGAACAACTTTTGGATTCGCCAAAGTCGATTGTAAAAAAGGCTTCAATTTCTTCAAATATTAGCAATCACGTCAATGATACAAAAGAAAAAACATCTACTGACATTAAGCAATTTAAACTTGATGAAGCACAACGCGCGAAGATAATTATGCAAACAAAGTCAGAAATACTTTGGGATTGTTACAGAAAACAGGATTTGTTAAATAAGGTTTGTTTATTATTCTGATTAGTGCTACCTTAAAATCTTTGAAAATTGTTTATATCATTCTAATATTGTTTACTTTAAGCGAAAACTCGAACGTGATAAGCAGAAAAAGGATCATGTATCTCATACTAAAGTTGTTGAAGATGTTGAAATTCCATCTACATCTAAAAATATTGCAACTGACAAGGAAGACATCAAGAATGAACTTAATTTAGACGATAATAAGGAATATGATACGCCGGAACAAGCGATATCTAGTGACATGAAGGTCAACGATACTAATGAAATTGATGACGCGCTCATTGCTGCTGAACTCGATGCAGTATAGTTTTGATTTTAATTTTCCATATATTTCAATAAAAAACTAGGAGGACAAACGAAGAGTTCTTCCACGAAGAAATGCACGAAATGCAGCAATTTCAAATATTAAACTTTTTACTACTTCACCGCGTTTAACTTCCACCTGTGATCTTAAAAATTCTGCAAGTACATTCAAACATAATCTGGTTAAATATATATATTTAAAATTATGTATATTTTAAATTTAGGCTTTTGTTTCTACTGCTGGGAGCAATAGTGATGAAAATAGCGATGAAGAGGAAATGAATGAAGTGGAAGAAGAGGATGATGATAATGAAAATTCTTCTGATGATGATTTTTTGTTGGATAGTGATGAGCGTCCTACTTTACGCAAAATTGGAAAGCCACCAACAAAAAGAAAAATAATACCAAAGAAAAAAGCAAATAAGAAAAAACAAACAAAGAAAGGGAAAAAGTTGTTTTTGCTTTTAAGTTAATTTTTAATTTTATATAAAGAGATGGACGTGCTAGCCGAATAGCTGCTCTCCAACGTGCATCAATAGCATTAGCAGCTGCTAATCGGAAAAAATTATCAGCCTTTGCTATTGATGAATCAAGCGATGATGAGGAGGCAGAGCCAGATGAGGAAGAAAAGGAAAGAAAGCGTGCTACAGAGCTGAGTTTATGCCAGCATTGTAAAGGTGTAGACAGACCTGATTTGGTTTGAAATTAACATAACGTATCCCATGAAATCCGATTTTAAGCTACTTCTTTGTGATAATTGCGATGATGCATGGCACACTTTTTGCCTCCGCCCGCAACTTTGGTAAGAAAATAACAATAAGTATTTTTAATATTAACAACAACCTTTTTAGGTATGTACCCGATGGGAATTGGTTTTGCCCTCCGTGTGAACATAATTCTCTTATAAATCGCCTTATTTATGCTTTACTTATGTTGCGTGACAACAAAAAGATACAAGATCAACAGAAAAAGTTTGTTTATTTAAAATTTAAACGTTTCTATTCCCATTTAGGAAGGAAGCGGCCGCTGATCGACTTAAACGCGAAATGGATTTTATTGGTATATCGCTGAACAATATAATTCCATCGGTAAATAATTTTCTCTTCAGTTTTTAATGTTAGTTACAGGGTATCAAAAAAGATGATGGTCATGTCAACACTTCATCAACAGAGGACAGTGATGAAAGTGAGGATGGGCAATATCTGCAACGAAAATCGAAGAAACGCGCAATGAAAATAGTTACTTCTAAATCTAGATTACAAAGACGAGCAATGGAGCAAATCGAACATCTATGTCCAATAGTGACAGTGGCTGAAGGAAGAAGTCGACGGGCGATGAAACGAGTTGACTATAATTTCCGTTCTTATGACGAGCAATTACAGGTTTAAATTATTAGGATATTTTTTATTACTGATTACATTCTTTTGTAGGAAGCAATGCATTCGATTGACCCAGATGCTAAACTCAATGAGAATGAAATGTCAGAAAGTGAAGCTGTCCGTGGGAAAGATATGCAAGTATCTAATTTTTTAAATTATCTAATTTTAGAACTTAAACGTTTTTAGAATATATATGTTGACGGGGAGCAGCAGAAGGATAGTCGAGACAAGAGTGATGAGGATGAAGAAGAATTGGATGCACTCGCACGTAAACGAGATGCCCCAGCAAGACCACCAAAGGGGCGAGCTCCAAAGGCTAACAATAAGACAGTGAAGAAAAATAAGCGTTTAACCGACTTAGATGTTGATGATGTTACGGAATCTGACACTGTATATTAATTTTGAATTTGTTTCATAATATGTTTTAAGGACGAATGGCATGAGAGTAGTGCAGATAATGTAGAAGAAGATCCTGAACCATCTGAAGATGAGGTAAGGATACGTCTTAATATTCACTTAAGAATTTTATAGTACCTTCCATCTGAACGTACTAGAACAAATAGAGGAATGTGGTCTAGACATAAAAGTGATGATGAATTCATCAATGATGATTCTGATCCTGATTATGTTGAAAAATCGAGAAGACGTGCTGGCGGTAAAAAGAAGAATCGCACGGAAACTAAATCAAAAAATAAGAGGTAGCGAAAATATTAATCAAAAGAAAAATACCTTTTTTGCAGACGAAACACTGAAACAAGCACTTCGGAAGATGACAACAATATACAACCTAGTGCGAGTGATTCTGACGCACCTAGATCAAATCGAACTAAAAACAAAAGACAGAAATTAAGTATAAGTTCATCTGATGAAGAAGAAGCAAAGCGGCTGAAAAAACTGACTGAAGCAGGTCGGCCGCTAAGGAGGGCAGCGGCGAGAGTGGGCGCACGTTTAATTGAAGTTGATGATGAGTTTGAAAATGAGGATGATTATGTAGCTGAACATGAAACAAAGACTGAGGATGATAAAGTGAATAAAATTTTAAATTATTATATTTTTTCTAATTATATATAGATAGAAGATCGCAATGACAAAAATGCTTTTGTAGATAAGCCTAGTCTTCCATCTACTAGTGCTTTAGAAAACAAGATAGACCGATCATCAAATGATGATTTTGATGACGCTGATGAATTTATGCCTAATGAAATAGAGGAAGTAGAAGCAGATGAAGAAGAGGAGGAAGCAGAAGTCGAACTTGAAAATGAGGCTGTAGACGATGACGAGGAAGATGTAGAAGATGAATCTAGCGATGAAAGCAGCAGTAAAAGTTCGGGTGATGACGGAGAAGAAAATTCTGCGAATAAAACATCAAATGTTGAAAGGACAATTATTAAAAATAAATTACCATCACCAATTATGAAAGTAAAGAAAAAATTACCTCCACCACGAAAAGCATCAAAAAATAAGAAGAGAGCACCAACTAAAATTAAAAAAGCTGGCCGTGGACGAGGAAGAAAGCAAACGACTAAATTAGAGGTAGGCTTTTAATATAAACATTTTATGTCGCAATTTTTTAGAACTCAAACAGCAAACCAGGCATTGAAAAGATAAATTCTTTGCAACGGAAGAGGTCAACGTCACTTGCTAAAGAACCTGTTGTTAAAGGTACAACGCCACAAAAGCTTACTGAAACGAATATCTCAGCAGCTAGCAACAAGTCTCCATCTCAGCAATCACTATCACCTCAGACGACAAGGCAGCGACGAAATCCTTCCACCCTCTTAAAGAACAAAATTGTTCAAGCTGAAACGAATTCTAAACAACAAAAGATACAAGAATTACCAACAGTATCTTCAAACGATGATTCAAATATTCAAAAACAACAGAAAAGTTTACCTCCCAAACCAGGAAAAATTGAGATACCTTTAGCATTAACTATTTCTGAACCATCAAAAGAGCAAAAGACGGAAGTGAGGATACCAGTGAAAACTCTTTCCAATGAGAATATCACTGTTGAAAATGAAAAATCTCTAAAAAAGATTGCACCCATTAATTCAAATATTAATGAGCAAACTATAGAAAAGACAATTGCCCCGCCGAGGAATGTTGAAATGAGCATTAAAGCAAAGTTGGAAGCTCTTGTAAAAGAAAAGATACAACCTAAAATTGAAAAGACAGTGACATCTGCAAAGTACTATTTTTGAATATTTTTTTTACTAATTTACTTTCTTTTAATTAGCTACTCAATAAATCCGTCTCAAACAGCTACTTCAACAACAACTTTAAACATACCATTATCATCATCAAAGATGTCTACAACTATTTTTCAACCTGTCGATCCGCAACAACTTTCACAATATATCAATAACACACCGCCGCCACCACCAGTTACAAATCAAAAAGTATAAGAATATAAATTTAATAAAAATACACATATGTATAATTTAATTTTAGCAAATTGTCTCTACATCATCTAGAAGTGTTGTGTCTTCTTCAATTGCTGTACAGCCAACAATATTGGCTCCTGCCACACGTATTGTCTTACAGCAAAGACCAATGGTTCATTCAACTACTTTTGCATCCTTTCAGAATAATACACCGCCAAATGGTTTTTTAAATTTCTAATTTTACTATTTCTGAATATTTTTGTAGTGAGTGGTCCTCAAGTTGCCATTATGCCAACAGTTTTGCCACCACCAATGACAGTAGGATTACCTCAAGGTTGTGTACCACAATTTGTTCCCCAACCACCGGCCACATACTTTATGCAACAAGGAGCGCCTCCACAAATTATTTATCAGACTTTACAGTAAATTTTTAATTAAAAATTGTTCGACTAAAGGTCGAAAATTTTTCCATCTTTTTACTTTACTAGGCCATATGGCTCTGCTCTTCCACCACATGCAGCATTCCCCGGTCATCCTATGCAAGTACAACAATCTCATCAAGCAGGCGGAATTGTGGACCAAGAAAGTTTGTCACATGCTTTGGCTGGTGCAATGAATCCTGAAGACCTTTAAACGATAACGCGGGATTTTAAATGAAGCGTGATTATTTTGCTAATTTATCACTTCACAAATAGATACATTAATAAAAACATACATATTACGCAAAATTTGTCCTTAATTGTTTACAATCTCGCTTTAATAAATTTTGATTGTAATTTAATTTTTTCTAAAAATCGTTTAAAATACGAATGTCTTTTTATATGTTTTAGACAATTTTATATTTTTTTGTGCATTTACCTAAACGATAAATGTCTCGCGATGTTTATCGACTTAATAATAACTTGTGCTATTTCTCTTTATTTTTCTCTGCATTTGTGAATTATTAGCTTGACAATAATTTAAATTTTTTAGCAAATAATTGTTTTTATTATTGATAATTTTATTCTCAAAAACAATGGCTGGTTGTTTCGACGTAATGCAACATAATGCATCTTTTGACTGGGACACCCGACGGAATACATATTCTGCAATCTTTGCTGGATTTTTGGTATTTTTAAAATATTATTTTTTCAATTTGTACTTTTTTTAGTTCTTTTTTGCATGGTGGTTAGTTATTGACACTGCTGTTGTTTTTACTCCTACTGGAGATTGGAATAATTGGTATATTTTATACGACAAACAATTATTTTATTTTTTAGGTATTTTGCTCTCGCTGTTTCATGTAGTCTATCAATGTTTATGTAATTTATTCTTTAAATATTTAAAATGGCTTTTTAAGGGTTAACTCTGTGTCAAATCGTGCACTTGAAGGTCTTTATTCCGAAGAAGGTGTTCTTGGAGTTAAAGGTTCTATTCTTTTGTTTTTTATTGTAAATTAAATTTAGGCACTCGAATCTGGCTTATGTTTGGATTTATAGGCAGTTTTGCTTGTATCATCGCAGGAATATGGATTATGTAAGTCAATTAATTAAATTAAGTTAAAAAATCCCATTTTAAAGGTTTGGTGATTATGTTCTTCAAAAGAACGACAATCCTAAATGGCCAGGTGTTGCTATCTTCCTTCACACTCTTCTTACCTTCATTGCTTCTCTCACCTACAAATTTGGACGAAGTGAAGAGCTTTGGGATTAGGGCATAAAAGAAAGGTTAACATAAAGCTTTGACCTATTGAGAAGTTTCTCTCAATTAAAAAGCCATTGTAAAAGTCTAATTTTTATTTTAATCAAAATCTTGTAAATGACTTAATTTGTAAGTTTATTTTTTTAATATAAGGATTGCAAAAAGTATAAACTTTATTAATTATTTTTGCAATTCAGAATTATGTACTATTTAATTCTGACTTTTTTAAACATTTATTTGCGTATATATTTACCGATTATTTCAATTCTAACTAATTAATTTAATCTAACCTCGTTGATTTTCCAAGTATTTTTTAGAAATAATCATAAAATATAAACGTTTTCCATAATTTGTGTATATGTCTTGTCGATACCTTTTAATCTGGCCAATAATATAAAATTCCCCAATTTTATAATCCTCACAATTCTGACTAGAATAAAAAAAATAACGGAAATTATATTTTTTATACTAATTAATTTTATTTAAAATAAAAATATTTTTATATTTGGATTACTTGCATATATTAAATTTATTAAAATATTTTTGGATTTAAAGATGTTAGTCAATAAGCAAGCTAAAGCTATTCTACGTTTGCTTTCTAATCCTTATTTCATGAGGAGATGTGCCATAAATTTGAGGGTTTGTTTAGTTTTTTATTAAAAAGGTTTTTGGATCAATTTGTTTTTTCGTCCTTTTTTGACAAGTTAAAGTGTTAATTTAGATTATATTTTTTAGAGAACAATTAAAACATCTTCCCATCATTTCCATGCTGGTCCTTCAAATATTCAACATCCAATACAAATTGGTGGCCCTCAACCTAATAATTGGCAAATGATACAAAAATTAGCTAGACATGTTTGGCCTGCCAGAGGCGAATGGAATGTTAAAAGAAGAGTAATATTAGCTATGACATTATTGGTTGCAGCTAAATTATTAAATGCTACAGGTTTTTAATTTTGAAAAATAATTTTTAAAAATTACTTTAAAGTACCCTTTCTCCTCAGAGATGTAATTAATTATTTTGATGGAAAACTTCCTTCTGGGTTTTCATCTCTAGGTTTGTCAACGCCAAGTGGAGCTGTCCTTTCAACTGGAATTGCTTTAATTATTGCATATGGTGCTGCTAGGGCAGGGACTTCTCTTTTTAATGAGGTTTTTACTTGACGATTTCTTTTTTATTTCTAAAATTTTTAGTTGAGAAATGCTGTTTTTGCACGTGTTGCCCATCGCTCAATTCGTGACATTGCTCGAAATATTTTTCTACATTTACATAGTCTCGATTTATCTTATCATTTAAATAGACAAACTGGAGCTCTTTCCAAAGCTATTGATAGAGGTACTCGAGGAATGAGTACAACATTAAATTCGGTAAAAAAATTTTTAAATTAAAATTATTTATTTAAAAAGCTTGTTTTCAATATAATTCCTACAATTTTTGAAATGGCATTAGTTGGAACAATTTTTTATATAAAATGTGGCCCTCAATTTACTTTTGCAATGACTGGATGTAAATAATTTTTAGAAAATTTAATAATAATTTTGTGAAGGTTTGGGAATGTATGCAGTTGCCACAATAGGAATTACCAGATGGAGAACAAAATTTCGATTAGAAATGAATGAGGCTGATAATGAGGCCGGAAATAGGGCAATTGATTCTTTAATCAATTATGAAACAGTTAAGGTATGTAAATAATTTTTAAATATTGAGGAAAAATCGTTTCTCTCTTAAATACCAGCCAGGGATAGTGCCGTCCCGATTTACGATTCTCGAAATTTGTGAATTCGAAATTGAGAATTTGATTTTCTATCGGCGCGATCCCTGCTACCAACCCTTTCTTATATTTAAATTTGTATTTTAAGTATTTCAACAATGAAAAGTTAGAAGCTGATCGTTATGATCATTTTCTTCGTCGTTTTGAATTTGCTTCATTAAAAACATCAACATCACTTGCATTATTAAATTTTACTCAAAATGCAATTTTTAGTGCTGGTCTTATTGGAGTAATGGCATTAGCGGCAGAAAATGTTAAAAACGGTTAGATTTGTTTAAAAAAATATTTTATTTTTATTTAGGAACAATGACTGTTGGTGATATAATTTTGGTTAATACACTTTTATTTCAAATGTCAATTCCTTTAAATTTTCTTGGGTCAATGTATCGTGATATTCGACAAGGTTTCTAAAAGATATTTTTTAATAAATAAAAATTATTAAAAAAGGTCTTCTTGATATGCAAGTTATGTTTGCTTTAACAGAAAAGAAAAGTCGAATTGTTGAGAATCCATATGCCAAACCTTTAATTATTTCACAAAGGCAGTCAAAGATTATTTTTGAAGATGTTGTTTTTGGGTTTGTTTGTTTTTAATTTTTTTAAATTTAAATTATTTTAAGTTATGTTCCATCTAGACCAATGATTCTTAATGGTTTATCCTTCGAAGTTCCCTCTGGAATGAAGGTTGCTATTGTTGGAGGGTCAGGTTCGGGGAAGTCTACAATTGTGAGATTGCTATATAGATTATTTGGTAGAGAATTTTTATTTTTTTTTAAATTATTATTTAGATGCTCATTCGGGAAAAATAACAATTAATGGTCAAGAAATAACTAACGTTCAACTTGACAGTCTTCGTCGAGCTATAGCCATTATTCCACAAGATAGTGTTCTGTTTAACGATACAATTTATTATAATATTCATTATGGGAATATTAATGCAAGTGAAGAACAAGTTTGTTTATTATTTTAAACAAATTAAAATATTTTTAATAGGTTTATCAGGCTGCTAAAACTGCAGATTTGCATGATTCTATAATGAGAATTCCACATGCGTATCAAACGATGGTCGGTGAACGAGGACTAAAATTATCGGGTGGAGAGAAACAACGTGTTGCAATTGCGCGGGCTATACTTAAAAATTCTCCGATTGTTAGAACTTTTTGTTTTATTTTTTTGAAATTATTTTAAATTTTAGATAGTCTATGACGAAGCAACGTCATCATTAGATTCAATTACAGAAGAGAATATAATGCATTCATTAAAAAGTGCCTACTCTGGCCGTACTTCGCTTTTCATTGCACACCGTTTAGTAACAATCGCAGATGCAGATATTATTTATGTATTGGATGAAGGCCGTGTAGTTGAA